AGCCATCATAAAACACAATTTCATATAGTAAAACATAATTTCATACGGCACATAATTTAAGAACTATATTAAATAGTCAACTTTCGAAGGTATCAAACCACATAACGTACCTTAATTCCGAATATCAATCAACACTTCGCACTTTCAAAGTTCAATCACGAATACACCTTGCAATTAACATAACCATACGATTATCACAACATCTTTAGACATAAACCCAAATCTAATGTGCATGGACTATAAAACTCTTTTAAAAATAATACTTTAATATAAAATTATAATTGTGAAATAGGTAATTATATTTTAGAAAACTAACCATGAAGAAAATAAAGGAATAGGATTAAAGGAAATTGAATTTGCGTTGGAAAGGATAGGCAGAACTTTCAGAGGTCATAACTCCTTTGATATAACTTCGAATTGGGTGATTCTTGAGCCTAACCTCAAGGATTTTTCGAAAGGAATAATTTTCTGTGAAATAGAAAAATCCAAAAAATGACCAGAAGTGCCCGAAAATTGGCTCCAAAAATATACGGGCAGATTTTCTTTTAGAAAAGAGGAAAAGAAAAATAGGAAAAGTTTGAGGGAAAAGAAGAGTAAAAGAAAAGAAGGGAATTGAGTTTTTGGTGTGAAGAATATGAGAGTTATGAGGGGGTATTTATAGGTGTTTAGGTGATGAGTTTATAGAAATTTAGGGTTGTATAATTTATGGAAATTTTAAAGAATAGAAATTAGGGTTTTAAATGTATGGAAGGATATTAGATTTTATTTGGTCATGAAATATATTTAGTAGGTTTTGAGCTTGGAGTGCAAGTATAGAATTAGATCAAGAGATTTTAGATTTAAGAATAGAAATAAGGAATTTTAAAGGATTTTTATTTTTAATAAAATAAATTAAACCCATTTAGAAAATTCATGAGTGGCCAAAAATATTGACATATAATAATTAATTAAATCAGATTTTTATTGTATAAAATCCGAAAATTAATATATTTCATGAAAATAATTAATTTAGAAAAATATTAAAACAATTTAGATTTTTATTCTATGAAAACCGAAAATACATTTTAATTAATCTACCGAATTAATATAATTTCGGTTTAGCTATTTAAATTTTGAGAAATCAAAAATACTATTTATAACATAAGTATAAAATAGTTTCATTTATTGGATTATCCAATTTAATTAGTTTTGTAAAATAATGATTTAGGCGCCAAAATTTAAATATCATTTTGGCTCCAAAACTAAAATACTCTTTAGAAAATAATTAATTTAGAAAAATACGTCAAAATACGAGACTAAAATACCTTTCAAAAATACGGGGTATTACAGGGGGCGATGGATTCTGTCCTCGGCGGTAGGCATACGGCACCAGTACCCATCCTCTTCCATTATGCCGTAGAAGATTTCAATTTGTTCGGCAAAACGATAGGTGGCATTATTTTCGACCCACCATGAATAAGGATCAGCCGTCATGATGCCCTCATTTTCATCCACATCAGTCCATTCCCTTTCCTCGGAAGTTAATGGCCTAGATGCCATGGCCGCGCCTCGGCCAAAGGTGCTAGCACCCTCCGAAGCCTTGGGGGGGAATGCTAGAGATCAGCACAGCCCTGATTGCAGCCCCACTCGGGGTAACAACAGCCCCAGCCTGGCCAATGAGAGGTGGCATCATTGCCAAAGGGCGATTCCACCGCGGAATCAATTGCGGCGTCTCCTCCTCCTCTTCCTCAATATCCTGTTCGACCTCTATGGGCCTCTTTCCCCGGTCATCGGCCATCTTTGAGCGGTGGAAGTGCGAGAAAGCAAAAAAAGGGGGTACTTGAAAAAGCAAAGAAAACCGAAGAAACTTTGAAGAAAATTATTTTTGTCAGATGCGGAATTTGCCGATAGGGATCTATGAATTCGAAGCAACAAATTTTGGTTTAAAGCTTCGGATTGCTGAGTATAAGCGAAAAAAGGAAATCGGGTTAGTAGCAAGGATTAGCGAGAAGCAAATGTGAATTAGCGAAAGGAAATGAAGAGAAATGTGGGATGAGTGGCTTAAATACCTTCCAAAAAAGGGAATTTCGGGAGTCCGTGCCACTAAAATCCCCACTAATTCCACTTAGCTTCAACGTTCAACTGTTCATATTCTCCTCTAATTAACTGCCCACTAAACTATCCAACTTCCCCACTACTTCAAGAAATAACCATTATTGCCTCAATAACCTCCAAGTTTAAATGCTAATTAAACCATTTACTTCCCTCCATTTTGCAAGTCAAAACCCAATCCGTCATACTTCCAAAAATCGGGTCTGGGGGGCAAGTTGTTTGGGCCCAATTTACTCCAATTGGGTCGATCCATAAATGTTCTAATTACCAAGCCCAAAGCAAGGTTCAACTCTCTAAACAATTGCCAAGTCAGTCAAGGCCCGGTCAATGTGGCAAGTCCACTTGATTCACGGCCCACTAATCTATTGAGAAAAGGTATAAAAGTCTTCAATCCTCTCTCTCTACATTCATTCACATCAAGCCTCAAGCAATTAATACTCTTGCATAGCTTTCTCTCTCTAAACATTGTATTGACTTCGGCATCGAAGAAGCCTTCCTCGACACAACCCCCGAGGCCAGTTTATGTGTGTTTGTTGTGTAGGAAATTCTTGGCCCAGTCATCACGTGGACCGAGATCAGTCTTCAGCCCACAGAAAAGGACCTTGCCGAAGGTTCCATTGTTTTTACCCTAAACAAAAGGTATGGATGATGATAGAATACTTCTAAGCTACATGGAGTTTATGGTAGAAATACAAGAGTATGACTATGAATTCTTTGCTGAAAGTGTTGGCTCAGGGTTCTTGTTCGGCACCTTGGGCGGGAGTTTCTGCCACTTCTTCAAGGGTTTGGCACCAATGCGATGCGTGTTAACATCCTACGCACTGAGGGATTATTTGCTTGTTTTTGTTAAGCATTTGACATTCCGTCTTATCTCTTTTATGGATACCGTGGTCAGAAGACTGTTTGGACCGATAAAGCAATCTCACTTGCCACTGCTGGAGCTATCATGTGGGCACCTCGTGGCCTTCGTTCTGCCTCGCTCGCTACCCTTACCTGTGGTGGCATCTATACCGTTGATCTAGGCATTAAGATTGCGATAAAAAACTTCAAGTTTAAGAACTACTCATTGGTCAGGAAAAATTAATTACTTTTTTTTTAGGTTAAGAAGTTGATAGCGATGAGAACTCGAATCAACTTATTGGGATTCCTTATTAGCTTCAAGGATAGGTATAAGTCTACGGACTAGCAAGCAAGGACATGCTCATTATATGTTGCATGCCTTAAAGCCCTTAATATTGCCTTTTATTAGTACAGTTTGAATGATTTTCTTTTAATCTTACACACTTTAACATACTTCTTAATTTTTTTTATAGTGAGCATATATTATAATACGAAGTACTATGATAACAATAGATTATTTTGGCTTCACCAAAATAAAACAATAATAATTTTAGATTTTTTTGTTTTTATATATTCTACATTCTAATACTTGTATTTATTTATTTTGGTGTTCAAACATCTTTGTACGAGTGTCTATTTTAGTTTGCAACACTAGTGGAAGAAGGGATATACGTAACACCTTTTCATATAAGACTAGACTAAGGATTACTATGCCCTCATCCTCTGATTTGCTCTATCTCTTTTTGCTATCTTCATCCTTTAACTTTAACCAATAATTCTCATTGATATTTACAAAAATAAAATATGGTCATTTGTGATATTGTTAAATTCGACTCAATGATTAAATTTTAGGAAATGCTATACATAACCCTTAGACTACATATAAACATTAAATACACACCAGAAAATCGTATAAATTTAGGAAATCATAAAAATGTAAACACTAATTACACTGATTTACGCGTGTTTTTGTTATGATTTCCTAATTTTAATTTATACAATTTTCAAGAGTGTATTTAATGGTTATATATAGCCCTTAGGGCTACATATAACATTACCCTTAATTTTATAATATCAACATTTTATATACCTTGTTAATAAGCAATTGAAGATACTGACTGTCAAAGGTCTATCTTAAATCGAAGAACGTGCAAATGAAAATACTGTAAATTTATACAGCATGATAATGAGCAAACTCATTATTTTTGTCCCTGCCCAGGGAAACTCACATTGGTAAGTCAGTGTGATGATAGTCTATTGATATTTTTAAAAACTTAAGTTCATTGTGTTTATTAGATGCTTTGAGTAAGTTTTAGAGAGATGGAAATAATTACTTAGTAAAAGAAAAAAGAAAAGGCTTTGAGTGAAGTTATTAGAAAGTGTTTTGATGGATGTTTTAGAACAATCATGAGTTCATTGAGGAAGTTTTAGAACAATCATGAGTTCATTGAGGAACTTGATAGAAACTCACATTCCTAACATGTTGTGATAAAGAGTGAGCATCATATTTTAGGAACTTAATCGAAAATTAGTTGGGACTGATTCTTAAAATTTGGCACCGAAATTGGAATCAATCCAGCCATTCAGCTAATACCTAATACTCGCTTCGTTTTTTATATGCATCACTTTGACTTTCCCACTATTCACATACAATGGTTGACTTAATTTTTTCACCTCTATAAAATAAATAAATATTATTATACAATATATCATTAGATTAGTCATAATGTCTAATTATAATTTTTACTAATAGCCAATTAAAGATATTAATGGTTAAAGTTGCGCTTCTACAAATGTGCTGGTCAAACTGTTGTATTTAAAAAAACAGAGGGAGAATTTTGGAACCATACTTGAAATCATCGGTGCCAATCTCGGTAATGATTATCAAGTTATTTATATAATTGTTGAAAAATAATATAAATTTTAAAATTTATATTGGTTTATTTTATTTTAAGCTTCTAATACTTACATTCTTATATTGCATTAAGCTATTTTATATGTATTAGGCTTTAATAACACCTTTTGTTTGTACTTACTAGATGCATTTAACATATTGTTATTTTAAAAATATACTCGTTATGTGTATATGGAATAACAAAAACATTAAAATTATCTATCAATAGACCACCGAATAAAATTTAAGAGAGATGAACCCGACCAAAATCTACATTTCCCATATAGTAATCTAAAAATCGAGGGAGGCCAAAAATGAAAAAGAATAATCAGAAAGAATATTCCTCAACCCCCACAAATGGTCACTCATTCTTCAAGTACAAACAAGTCCATTCATTAATCATAATTCATAACCAATTAACCATAACCATAACCATAACCATAACCTAACTTACCCCCTTCTCCCTTTTCCCTTTCCTAATAAAGTATCTAATCACACCGCCTTTGAACATCTTCCCCACATCATTAACACTCTAATCGGACGGCTCTTATTACTCCCACCATTTTCCTTTTTTTCTTTTTTGAACTATTTTCTTTCTCTTTTTTTAAAAAATAAAATAAAATTCATCTCGTCAACAAACAGCAGAGACGAAGAGAGAGAAAATAAAACTCAGAGAACCCAGTAGAACAAAAAAAAAAAGCTTGAGCTAAATTACCCCAATTTAGAAACCCTAATTTTCCAAATTAAAATCAAAAAAGGAAAGTTCGATGAATTTGTAGAAGGAAGAAGGGTATAAAAATAGATGCATGTCTCCTCTTTCACCCAGACACTGTCTTTGGATCCGAACCCGAATCCGAGCCCAAACCCGAACCCGTTTTGGAATTGGAATTGGGTGCTCCAGTTTTTCATCACTGCCTTCTTTCTTGCATTAGGGTTTCTTTGCTTGCTTCGTTCTACAGCATCTAAATATTTTGTTGTCGATTCTAATTTTAATTCTAATTCTAATTCTAATTCTTCAACGACGTCGTTTCCTGATATGGCTGCTTCCGTCGTCCATTCTTGTGCTTCTTGTGGCAAGCCTGCTTCTAAGCTTTGCACCGGTTGTAAGATTGTTAGATATTGGTATGGTTTTAATTAATTTCTTTAAATTTTGGAAATACATTATGTTTTATTTGATTATTTTTAATTTCATTTTAATGTTGTTGCATTGTTCGTTGAAGTATATTAATTGTAATTATAATTGTTGTTATTAAATTTTTGGAAAATTGAATTATTGGGGAGGTTGGGGGATTTTGAAACTTTGGTTGTAATGATCATTATTGGGTTTTTGTTTGGAATTTTGATAATTGAGCTGTATTTGTTATTAATTTTTTTAATAATGAAGACATAATGATGAATAAATTTACATGCTAATTTTTTTAATTTTAATTTTTACATGGTTTTATTAAAGATGGTTAAAGTAATTAAATTCCTTATTCAGTTGTGATGTAAGATTAGTTATTCAGTAATATGTCGAAGATCAACAAGAATTGTGATGGGTATGGGGATTTCTGGGGAAGTGTTGAGCAATTCGATATGATTTCTGGGGAAGTGTTGAGCAACAAGAATTGTTATATGTGCTTTTTCACGACCTGGATTAGAATGAATTGCGAGGTTATCGAATTGATACGGTTATATTGATTGAGGTACTATAAGAAGTGAGAATAACAACGGGAAAGGGTTCTTTGTTTAGGATGAAGTGGGATAATTTAAATAAGTGCAGGAAAGTGGAAAGATTACTAGGTTTCTCTTTGATTTCCGAGCTAAGGGATGTTTTCTTTGTTCAGTTGATACTTCTTTATCATCCATTATGTCAAAAAGCTGATCAGGTGTGATCTAGGTAAGCATTGATATCTACTTAGAAGAAATTTGAATGGTTTGGCTGTGGAGAAATTTGAGGGAAGTGTCAAGAAACTTGCTGTGTAATAGAACTGCTAACAGGGAGTGAATGTAACCGATCTTTGATGCAGCAACTTTGGACTTTTTACTAGGTGGTTCCATGAAACAACGAAGAGGCAGTGGAGTTGGTGCTTGGTCTGCTTGCTGTTTAATTCATAGGAAGTGATGTTTTTCCTTTTTATATTTAATACACTCTATATAAGAACTGGATAGATGTTTGTGGTGGATGCCTACTTAGTTTAGTCAAGCAAGAGAGCATACAATGAGAAAACATTATGATGATGTGTGAATTGTGAATGGCTGTGCCGCACAAGGATATTATTGTGGATAGATACTGCTGTAAATAATCATTGTATATTGTAGTTGAGGATGTTTGAATTTTGATTGTTTAGGAGAAAAGTTTCTTTCTTTTTTAATTTTCACTTTATTGTTGACTCTTCTTTAACAAAACTCTTCTGTTGTCACTGATATCTGTTGTTAATATCTTGTTGTCAATTATTGCACCTTTCTATGACCCACCCTCTCTTTTTGGTGAAAACCAATGTCGTCGCAGTTTATAATTCCTCACCTACTTCTATTTTAGAATTTGTATCTCAATAGTTGACTGTGTTGGAGCTCCTTGCCCCTTGAATTTTGGATATTTATTTTCTTGAATTTAAGTCTGTATTTGTCTTTTGTTCCTTTCAAGCTCCGCGACGTGCCAAAAACAACACTGGCAATCAGAGCACAAGAAAAAATGTTCAAAGTCACCACAGCAAACAGGTGGAAAGCGCAATATGTCTATTGCTTTGGTCCCTTCAAGTGGATCTGTCAAGATACAGAAGGTTGTGGACAAGGTCAGTTGGCGATATTTCTTACACTGTTGTTTTCTTGTTGCGACTTTCAGTGATCTCTACATCTGTTGCTCCAGTTCCTAGATTCCGATTTCTTGAATTCTATTTTTCCAGGTTCTCTTTCCATATGATGAATTTGTCAAACTTTACGACTGGGACAAATCCATCTTTCCACCTTGTGGGCTTTTGAACTGTGGAAACAGGTTTGTTATCTGTGTAGTGATTTTAGTATGGCTCATCCCTACCCCCACACCCTTTTCCTGAACTAATCATTTCTCCCATTCACTTCCATCTGTCCCTAAGACTAAATGTTTAGGTGGTTATTACATTATTCACTACCTATCAGTTTGCTAAAATAAATCTGCTGGAGTCTAACAATGCTTGAGTTAAAAGAAATAAAGTTTTAACTAATTAATTAAAGGTCAATTATCTTATAACACTTCTTCCTGAATAATTTTACCGCATTGCTATCCATAAAATTCCCTGCCTTTTACGCTGATTTTTATTTTTATTGACTTGTATTTTTTTTTGTCTGTTTTTGCAGTTGTTTTGCAAATGTGGTTCTACAATGCCTTGCGCACACCCGACCACTTGTAGCATATCTGCTTGAAAAAGGCCATAGGAGAAATTGTAAGTGATGACCTCTTGAACTAATTTTGTGTCTGTTATGTATGATGTAGTGATACTTATATATTTGTTTCTTTAGGTAGGAGGAATGAGTGGTGCTTCCTGTGTGAACTTGAAATGCACATGACAAAAGCTAGTAGGAGTCAGCAACCTTTTTCACCAATTAATATCCTATCGCGATTACCTAGCATTGGAGGTAATCTTGGTCATGGAAAACAAGAGGATGCTCATGAGTTCATGAGGTAAACTTGTTAATTATGTACTATATACTCGTGGTGCTTCCAAACCTTATTTGTTTCCTGGACAAAGCTAAATCTGTTTTGTCAGATATTTTAACTGAGTATTTAAGGGGTCAGATTTGGTTGGTTTAGAATCTCTTAGTTTTTGCTGTTGTTTCAATTTTGGAGTCTTTTAGTGCATTCTGCTGTATCTTTTCTAATGGCTAATGATCTGCTGTTGAGTGGAGTCCTAGTGCATTTTGGCCCTGAGATTGTATGAACCTTGACCTATATCTATTTGTATTGACATCATGTGCATGTATTCTCTGGCACATACATATTGCCTATAGGTAATTGATGATTTTTATGTGGATTGGTAGGTTTGCCATTGATACAATGCAATCTGTCTGCCTTGATGAACATGGTGGAGAGAAAGTCATTGATCCCAAATCCCAAGAGACTACCCTTATACAACATATATTCGGTGGTCAGCTTCGATCCCAGGTTAGTGTGACTTGCAATTTTTATCTTTTGTCTACTGATTATATGCCAAATTAGTTATTTTATATAGAATCAAATTAGATTTCTTTTTCCTAATTTTGTGTTATAGACTTTGTCGCTTTTATGGACCTAGATGATCAGTGTATGCTTCAAAAGCTGAGCAAGATCTGCACTAGCATATTACGAGTATGTTTTAATGATATGTTGGTTTGATTGTGACATGTCCCTTTCCAAACTGACAATGTGAATCTAGACTTGAGGGATCTCATTTCACTGAACTTTCTGACATCTTTTCATTTTGAATGTCCTTTTCAATAAATACTTCGCACTAAAATCCTTGTGGTGTGTACATTCATGAGGTATATGACTTACTGTTGTATATCTTTCTTTTTTCAACATGTCTATCTTATTTTACAGGTTATATGTACCACATGCAATCAAGTGTCTAATCAGTATGAGAATATGATGGATCTGACGGTTGAAATTCAAGGAGATGCTACATCTTTGCAGGAGTGTCTTGATCAATTTACTGCAAAAGAGTGGCTTCATGGAGAAAACTTGTATAAATGTGATGGGTATGAGTTTTCTTCTTGTCTATGGTTTCTTTGCATTTGTCACTTTGTCAGATAGAATTCCGTAACATGTAGATGCCTTATGTATCACAACTGATTGTAAGAACTTTTGAAATTTAGCTGTCCATAATTGACTTATGCATCAGGATCACATTCTTTTTTTTTTTATTTTTTTTAAATTTTTTTGTAAATAAAATTATTTGTAGGTGGTGTATCTCCGTAACGTAATTACTAAAAGCCTTGATTTTTTTTTCTTATTAGAGTAATAATTAAAGTGAAGAGCCTTGAAAATTTTCTTTTTCTTTTTCTTTTCTATTTCTATATTTGAGATGTATTGCATAGTTTAGTATGTGATTCCTCCATTGTTTATGCGACGCTGCTTCTCAAATGTACTGTCTTTGAAGTCTTATTTATTTTCGATTTTTATTTACAAAATTACCTTGATCTCTCATAAATGTTCCTAGCCTCTGGAATAATCTTGATTTAATTTGATAAGCTGACTATATTTAACTGTTCTATGTAGTAACCAATATGATAAAACCCATTAGATTGGGTTTTACTTTGGTTTCGTTGGTCATATAGTCTTATTTTAATGATTGTGGTAAATTTTTTACTTCATACATAGATCAGATGTTGATTTGGTTTTTGGAATAGAATTATTTTGATAGCATGTTATTTTCTGGTTTCCTGGTTCTGAATACACTTGAACATATGTTCCACAGTTATGGTCTGATAATCAGATTGGCCTCTCCTGTGCAATTACTTTAGTGGGATATATTTTGCTTTCTGATCTGCATTCCAAGGCTTAAGTCTCTGAGAATTGACAAATTTGTACAGATGGCCCATCAACTGCCAGTATGAAATATTTTTGAAAAAAAAAATCTAATTTAAAATTGGCATACTTCAGACCTTCACCGTATGTTGTTGGAACCACTACCCTTGCATTCCAGAATGTTGACATTTGTCTGTTTGTTGTCTTGTTGGGCCATGTTGGCACTTGACATTATTCTAACAGATTGTCAACCTTATTCTAAAGAATCAGAAACTAATTAGATTTGTTAGATGAAGCTAGTTAGATTTAGTCATTTAAGGCTTCGTGCCTATTTAAAAAAATTGGAATGGACCATGAAGAAAGACATTTTAAACTGGGGTAGTCTTTTGATTGGGCCAGGATGATGTTGATCTGATTCTATCATCTTTCTAACCACAGCATTAAATATCGGTAGATATACAATTACTTGAAGTACCTTTAGTTTTTGAGCTTCGCAACCAAGATTTACTGAATCGTGAAGGATTTTATCACATTAGCGAGTATAAACCAATAGGAGGCTTTAATAAAATGTTAATACAAGCTGATGAAAAAGTATGCCATGTCAACTGTGATCCTTGATGCAGCACTGCAATTAGTGCAATGTAGTATGGTTCTATAATGCATGACCATTATTATGATTGCAAGTTTGCAACTGCAAATCATGATTTAACTTGGTCCCATAGTTATTAAAATCGAAATTCTACTTTTAATTGAAAGGGACTTTTAGAATCGTCGTAAGATTCTACGAACATAGATGTTCAAGACGTACTCAAATTTCATTGAATGTGTTTATATTATAAGGTATAAACATAATTTGATAGAAAATAGTTGTGTACCCACTAAGCAACCTATGAGTGACGATATATGTTTATCAGTAAAATTGTAGGCATGTTTTGAATTTGTAAGGTTTTCACTAGTTAAGAAAAATTTGTAAATCGAATAGAATCATAAATCGAATTGTATGGTCATACGTTAATCATAAAATAGTAAGATTCTAAGATTTGAATTGCGAGTCCCAACTTGTCCTTCTTTGATATGCGCACATGATTATAGATTATGGAAAATTTGAGTGTTGGAAAATGACCTTGCAACTTGTCTCAAGTTTGGTCGATCTGTAGCATTTGATATTGAGATTCGCAGAACCCTTGTCCCTTGAGTTTTTGAAATGCCTACAAGAAAGTTATTTATAATGTTCAATCATGAGTCTCCATCATAAGAAAATGTATGTCTACTTGACAAGTTACAAACTATACTCCTTATTTTGATTAAAGATTTAATTTTATGAATTCTTAGGCCTTGTTCTCTTCACCTTGTTTTGCTGAATTGAATTTATATTAGCTGAACCTGAAATTATCTTTATTGAAATTAAATTATTTTTGCTTAACTTAAATTATTTTTATTAAACTTGTTATTCTTAACAATTGTCTTTTATATTTGTTCTTTGAAGTTATTTATTGTACTCAACTTAGCTTATTTTGACTGAACCTAACTTATTTTTATGAACTGAAATTATTTTAAGTAGATATTATCAAATAAGGTGAAGTGAACATGGCCTTACATCAATTTGTTAAATTTATTATTTTAATGTATATGGTGATTTACTATTGTTGGTTTATTTTAAAAAGTACCATTATAGAAGTAATCTATACTTTCTAATGATAGGTATTAATGTGAGCGGTTGGAGATTTACCTTGAAGATTACAGCTGGTCAAATTGAACTTTATTTTGTTGACAGAAGTATCCCTTTTTATATCTTGATGGCTTGTTAGAGATGTGGAACACTGAGTTGCTTTACTTGGGTGCATGTTTTTTGAATAGCTGATTTACCACTTCTGTAGCTAAATAAATAGTACCTCATTAGTTTGTGAAATTGCTTTTTTTGAAGTTTGAAATGGCTACGATTGTGAATATCTTGGCCTCCTTTAGAAATAGACCATGGGATCCTTATTGACATCTGTAAAAAATTATTTTTTTGTTCTGTTTGCAGATGTAATGATTATGTCAGGGCATGGAAGCGTTTAACTATTCACCAAGCTCCAAACGTACTTACAATTGCTTTAAAAAGATTCCAGGTAAAATTTTATATTTATTGCTGGTAGATTTGAATATCTTTTATCTTTCTGACTGTTATCCTGGCTATCTTCAAATATTGGATCATATAGCTTATTGTTTCTGTTGCAGAGTGGGAGATTTGGTAAAATTAATAAGAAAATTATTTTTCCTGAAAGTCTGGATCTTAGCCCATATATGAGTGAGGGGAGAGATGGCACAGATAAATACAAGCTGTATGCAGTTGTGGTCCACGTGGACATGTTAAATGCATCTTTTTTTGGCCACTATATCTGTTACACAAAAGGTTTCCAGGGAGACTGGTACAGAATTGATGACTGCAAGGTAACACTGTACATCCAACTATACTTATTGATTAGCTTTGTGTAATTTATGAAGCTTTTCCCTGAACCATTTTACCCCTGTTGAGTCCCAATCAGTAACAAAATATGATGTTTTCAGAGGAATTTTTTTAATCTTTGTTTTTGAGAAGGATATCCATGTTTTTTGGAACATATCTACTAATGCAAGATTGAGAATCTTTTCTTTCTTTATGTTTGCTCATTTGTGTTTCTATGTTTTGACTTTACCTTGTGATGTTTGTGCATTTTGTGTGACCAAATGCATCCGTGATGAGTCTATGTATAGATTGTTCTTTTATCTGATTTCTCTTAAAAAAACGCTTAATGATCCTTAATTTCCAGGTGGCGAGGGTTGAATTAGATGAAGTTCTTTCACAGGGAGCTTATATGCTTTTATACAGAAGGTATACATTTCTCCTCCAAGCATTTGTTTGAGGATGTCAATCATACTATTTCTCTCAAGTATACAATTGGGGAGGAAGGTTGATGTCCCTGGATTTAAAATGCTAGAATTCTTTGATCTCCAGAATTCTACAGTAAGAAATTAGTACCGTCCAGTCCAGTATAACAATTTCAGTAGCCTATCAGTGCTGCTTGATATTATTTAAGGCCGCTTGGGCCTTTACTCTAGGCCTGAAATTGTATTTTTAGCAAATGAATCTAAGCTACTAAATAAACATACAATTGGCCGTGAAAGGGGAAAGTATGATAGGTTGACTTATTCCATCCTTACATTTCATCTGTCATCCCTATTTGATTTGCTTCTACTACCTAGCTGACCTAGCTTGCACTGATGGCTGACATGATGTAATCCAGCTTGTCAACCACCCTGCATTTAAAACTAAAATCAGTGAACCATATGCTTGTCATGCTTGTGGTTGTATAGTAGCCAAAATTGGCCAATGGACACCTTATTTTTTCAGGAACTGACTCTACTGCCAATGCCCCTCCATCTCTTGCACTATGTTTCTATTTTAGTCTTGCTTTTACTTATAAGATTCACCCTTGGGGGTATGCAAAGATTTCTGGAAATGACACGAAATTGACTATATGTGATGAAGAAGTAAGAGCTTGTAAGGGTTTAGGTGTGATCTATTAAGGCCTGGTGTATATGGTCTGAATTCCTTGATTGGTTTGGTCCAATGTACTGGTCTAACTAAGCTTCGACTGTATTTCTGCACTAATGTATAAGAAAAACATTATAGTGGTAAATTGGCGATTCATCTCAATGTGTACATTCCAAATATGTAATTTCTATAATTTTTTTTTTAGTAATTCATAATTAAAGATATTTAGTAATAAGTAAATGCATGTTTAAAGTTATTATTCGATTTGATCTGAATATAGTTGGTCTGATTTGATTCTGATAAGAATATTACAAGATGAAATAAATTGAAGAGAACAAGATTTAACTCCTGTCCCACCAAGGCTTGGAAATTTTGCCAAATGTGAAAAGAATCCTTGTAATTTTTATCAAGAAATAGTCAATATTTATTTTATCTGTTTCCTCACTTTCTCATAGTTATTTCTAGATAGACGTGTTTGTGTGGGTGACTAATAAACATAATTGTTATTGTACTTCTTTACTTCAACGTATTCTAGATTATTACCATGCCATTTTTTTACGGTATAATGTTCAGGTTATGGAATTATATGAAAAATGATTTGTTTGATTGTCATATGTCCATAGTTTATGTAATGGTACATGTGTTTACTTTTTTTTTTTTTTTTTTTTTTTTTTTTTTTTTTTTCTAATATAGACTACACGATTTTGGAGCCTGGTCTTTGTTAAAAATTGGCTGTCAATATCCTGTACTTGCGTATATAGAGAGATATGTGGACACAAATGCTTGTGAAGGAAGTTAGGTACCTATTAAATATAGTGGTAATTGTGCTAGAAGGCCCTTGGCTGAACCCAAATGCGCAAATATGTATCGTTGATGGAGAGTCAGTGTAGCTACTAATACTGATGTTAGTTGGCAAAGTAGAACACTTTTGTTCATGGCGAGTTGGTCGTGGTGGTGTTGAGAAGTGATTGTATTAACTACTAAGTGAAGCCTTAGTTTGTTAGTATTCTTTGACACCTAAATTCATCCCCTTTCTAGCTTATGGTCACTTACTGACTGGGCTAATGGGAACATGACATCTTTGAAGTGCTCACTTGCTAATGTAATACAAAGTATGTTCTATCTTATTATTTTCTTTCATAATTATTAAAAAATTGATACAATGTAAACTTTCTATCTTACCAGTAATCAGATGAGGCACATATTGCTTGAGCTGTCCTATCTTATAATACCATGTGAATTTTGTTTGGCATCTAATTTGAAAGTAGGTACTAGGTAGTAATGTCTTGTTTTGTGCTGCCTGCCGTCTGATTAATCCATTTGTTAAAGATTTTTGAGTATCTTGTACCTGTGTGCTTCTGAAATTGGCTTGCATAGTTTTCTGTTTATTATCAGCTTAGTGCATGGAAACTGTATTTCTGAAATTGCTCCTCGTGGGACAGGATTTCTGCTCGACCAAAAAGTCTAAAGACATCTGAACCTGCAATAAATCAGCAGCAGGATGGGAGGAAGTTGTCCACTGAGGCAGAGCATAGTAGCTCAACCCGACAGGCTGATTCGTTAAATTCTTTGGAAGCGTCCAATTCCAATTGCAGTTCGGCCAATCATCTAGATTCTGATGTGGACAGGCAGTTGGACCACACTCATACTCCAGCAGAACAATTGAAACTGATTGACAACGACTTGGAGGACTTTCAGACTGTCAATTCTGTGTCAGGTCTACCAGTTTCAGTTGAAGTGTCGGAGAATGGAAGTTGTTCTTTGAATACACTCACAGCTGTTGCTGCCCAAACGGTTTCCAGCTCTCCGTCGTGTTCAAGTGCAGAATTACCTGGTGAAGTTTCAGATACCCCTGGATCATCTGCTATGGGTGGGAATGTATTGAGTGCTGCCTCACGTGAGGGTTTAGCAGCTTTAGCTGTAGCTGCTATCTCAGTGTCTGATGAAGAAGCTGTTCGTTTTCCAGCTGATTTCTCGGGTTCCACTGGAAAACCTGAAGAGCTAAGGTTTAAGGATGAAATCAATTCCCATGTAGCTGGCATTTCTGAAAATTTTGTTCCTGTCACCTCTGACCCAACTGTCCCTTGTGAGATGAACTGCTTCAGTAATGGATCTGTTGCAGGATATCCTTACCAGAGAGTTGACGAGAGGAAGAATAGTGAGATGGGTTATCTTGGCCTTCTTGACAAGGAAGAAAGTGAGGTATCTCCAGATGACATGGATTTGGACAGTGTGGAGCTTAATGAGCCTGATAACTGTTCTAATGGTGACATCCACGACATTATAATTGATGAAAGTCCTGTTAATTCTTGTTAGGTCCTGCTACTAGATAAAGAAAAGCCTTTTTGCGTGCATGGCTAGGTCATTGGGAAGCCATCAGTAGATTGGAACTTCTGCATACCTCTGTTATAGGATGTATGACTGTTGCTGGAAGGCAGTTTGGAAAGTTTTACTTGGAGCAAGTTAGGCCTGTAATTATCTATTTTTTTCCTGTTGCAGAGGACAAATCCAAGCAGCAACAGCGGAGGAACCTCCATTGCGTGGTTAATTAACAAACTGTTCGATTTCTAAGATTATCATACAATTAGATTTAGTATAAGAGTTGAAGCAAGAAATAGTTCAGATAGAACTTTTTTTTTTTTTTTTCCCCATTGATTCCCCCCCCCCACCCGAGTTTTAGGGATCATTATTTAGCTGATAATCCTCGTTTAGGAACTGATTTAGGGCAAAGTCCTGGATTTCAGTATTAGAAGGAATCTTGGATGCTAACCTTCAAATTTCTTGAATGTGTTGGTTACTTGGCATTTGGACAAGTACATCGAGCACTTGGATATGCTATGAATTTCTTTTTGATTAGGCAATCACAGGCTTTTAATTATGTTGATATAAAATTTGTTTTGGCCAAAAACTTTTGGATCTAAATTTATTAATTGGTCTTGCAATCGTATTTTTTTTTTTTATATGAACGATGGGAGTATCTATAAGGTTACAATACGAGTAACAAATTTTGGATCTTTTTTATTAGTAATAATTTCTTCCATGTATTCTACAGAGGATTAAACAAAATTTATCTTACTGGGAAGTTTGAAAACCCTATAATCTCTTTTCCCAGGCAATGTTTATTTTTTGCTGCTGTTATTGTCTTCTGTCATTTAGGTAGTTCTTGCGAGTTTTGTCTCTGAAATCATAGATAGCAAATCATGGGATCTTGTGAGAAAGTACTGCATTAAAATGTGGAATTAAACTAGAGAGATAATTAAGCTTACTTTACATTTGATCGGCTCACTGTATTATTAGAGCCATAAAGAACAAATGATGTAAATAGAATTTGATCTTAAATGCTGGACACTACTTCGTATCAACTAAGCTTGTAGATTTGTAATTGTTTCCACTTAAACAACAAACACAATATCATACGAGTATTATTCATATATTGCTCGAGCTAATAACTAGTTTATAAGGTCTACGTCCGAGAAGGATTCATCAATGTGTCACTCTTTGGAGATAAAAGTGACCTGTACCAGTCTACCCTCACTTCCTTAGTCTGCTGGCTTGTTTTGTATTGTATCGTTGAATGTTGGCAAAGTGCATTAACACTGGCAGCTTACATCAAACTTTGATCACTTTACTCGATCACCCCACCGTTTCATTTCCATTACTCAGCCAAATCCATGCTTTATTAATATCTTCTGGACTTTCAAAGCGCCACCCTTTTGCCTCCAAACTCTTCTCTTTCGTTGCAGATTCTGGCAATGCTGATTACACTCACAGATTACTGCTGCACAACCCCAGCAACTCTGTTGTGCATTGGAACAGAGTTATCAGGCTTTTCTGTAACACCCCAACTCCCTATAATTCCATCAATGTTTTTGTTGAAATGCAGCGATTTGGGGTTGTTCCTGATTACTTTACTTTCCCTTCTTTAGCTAAGGCCTCGGCCCGCCTTGGTTCGATTGAGCATGGGGTGTCTTTGCATTGTGTTGTGTTCAAGAGTGGGTATGAATTGGATGTATTTATTCAGAATTCTCTCATTCATATGTATGCTTCATGTGGGGAGATTTTGTATGCACGTAAGGTGTTTGATGAAATGCCTCAAAGGACGACTGTAACATGGAATTCAATGTTGGATGGGTATGCTAAGTGTGGGGACTTGGAGAGGGCACAAGAAGTGTTTGAGTTTGCTCCTGTTAAGGATATCGTGTCGTGGAGCTCTCTTATTGATGGGTATGTTAAAGGGGGTGAGTATGGAGAAGCTATGAAGGTCTTTGAGAGGATGGAAGTAGAGGGGGATATAAAGGCTAATGAGGTGACTATGGTGAGTGTTTTGGGTGCATGCTCTCATTTAGGTGCCCTTGAGCAGGGTAGATCGATGCATCGTTACATAATTGAGAATAAACTGCCTTTAAATCTTGTGCTGTTAACTTCTCTTGTTGATATGTATGCCAAATGTGGAGCAATAGAGGAGGCCTTGGTTTTGTTTAGAGGGATACCGAAGGATAAGACCGATGTTTTGCTATGGAATGCAATTATTGGAGGGCTTGCAAGCCATGGCTATGTGCAAGAGTCGTTAGATTTATTTGCAGAAATGTTAATGGTACAAGTTGTGCCTAATGAAATAACTTACTTGTGTCTCTTATCTGCTTGTGCTCATAGAGGATTGGTGAAGGAAGCTTGGGAGTTTCTTGATTCTCTCGAGAGAAGTGGCATGAAACCCAAGTCTGAGCATTATGCTTGTATGATAGATGTTTTGGCAAGGGCAGGTCAGGTGGTAGAGGCTTATGACTTTATGAACAAAATGCCTTTGGAGCCAACCCCTGCCACACTGGGTGCACTCCTTAGTGGTTGTATGAGCCACGGAAGGTTAGACCTTGCAGAACAACTAGGGAAGAAGCTTGTTGAAGTTGACCCTCACCATGATGGCAGATATGTGGGCTTGTCTAATGTGTATGCTGCGATAAGACGCTGGGATGAGGCAAAGATGATGAGGCAAACTATGGACATCACAGGGATGAAGAAGTTTCCTGGCTTCAGTTGTGTGGAAATTTCAGGGGCCCTTGAGATGTTTAAAGCACACGATAGATGGCATCCAAATTCAGCAGAGATTGTTATGATGATAAATTTTATTTTTAGGCAAATGAAGAAGGTTTCAGATTGTGATGAAGGGAACATGTTATACTAGGTTGCTGGAGACCTGGGTTTTACCGTCTTCAAGCGATTATTATGCATGGGACAAGAAAATGAAGGCAGTATGGTGTTTAGATGGTTTCCAACGGTTTTAGCTGTAATCTCCTTTTGAGCTTCATATTCCCTGCATCCAGCCATTCATGAGGAGCTGCATAAAAATACTTAAATACTTCACATGGGGAATGATTTTGAGGATCACAGCTGAGTGGAGCCTTAGGCAGTTGAGCAGGACATTTTTCTGTATCTTCTCCGCCACCTTGGTTCGGTAAAAGCTTTGGGTGTTGGAAGTGGGATAAATTTCAGCATCTCTAACCAGTGGCATCGTGTCTTAAAATAGTGGGCAGACATCGACTTGTGCTTTTTGAACAGACAATATGGATGTCGATTGAGGATAAAAGAAAAGGTTGCAGTTTTCTAGTACAATCAACTGTCAGTAGCTAAGTGGTTGCTTTGTTCATGAGTGCTGAATATAAAAGCTGCATTTCCAATTTTTATCATACTGGTAGAACTTTGATTTCCATTGGTCCTAGCAGTAAAAACATGAATGAGGTGACTCTTCTCTTTTTCACACCAGATAACTGTTAATGTTGCTTGATAATCTGCTTGTTTTTCTATCATAATCTTTCTTTGATAAAGTGGTCACCTGAAAGAAACTTGTGCTTTTCTTGTTGAATTCTTAACATCAATATCTGTCATTCTGTTTGTTTTTTCATAAGAGTGGCGAAACTAATGCATGAATACCGATCCTTGTGATCAAGATTTCAAATTTGAATGCAATCTCTAGTACAGAGTATAGGAGTGTACAAGTTTGCAAAGACCTATTTAGTTAAGCTTACATTACTTCAGGCAGATAAGACTTCTGTTTACTTTTTTATACAGCGAACCTGTAGTCTCCTAAACGCAACAAAAGCATTGTAGAATTGTAGGTACTACCCACCTTATTCATTTTACCTTTCTAATAATAGCAGTTCTCTGATCTGCCAGAATCCAGACCAGTGATTCTCTGAGACTTAATGTGCGTCACCGTTGACTCTGGAGAATGGAGCCAGCAATATGGACCAAAACATTATTCTTCATGAATTATGCTATTATTCCGCTTCTGAATTCCTGCCAAAAATTATCAATTGAATTACTTGATATAATGTAATTGCATATTCAATTTTCTGCATTTGTCACCCTTTATAATCAAGCACTAGTTCTCAATCATTTAGGTGGTAAACAAAAGATTGAATATCCTTATGTTTATCTCCATATTATGAGTTACTTACTTCGGATGCCAACTAGCTTATCTGTCAAATTCTGATGGTGGTTCCCAGGATCAAATAAGATGATCAATTCAAACTTCAGCTGATCATCCTATGATTTTATTCCATGAAAATATATAGCTTCTGGTACTTTAAATCTTAGTTCTTTCATGCTTATAAGGGAAAGTACAAAATGATTACGATATATTAGCAGATGTATCAAGGGGAAGATCACTTACTGTAGCATTTCAAGATAGGCCTTTTCCCAGTTCTAAGGAGCTGAAAGCTTAGTATATCTCCAGGATTAAGATTGTTTGCAGCCTGAAAAGAACTCCATCCTCTTTTAATGTAGCATTGACGTCTATTTCTATTGAAAGTCAGCCTCACTCTCCAAGACATATCATCTACATCTACTAGTGTCATGTCATAATTTATGTTTACAAAACCATTTGATCTTGAAAAGCGCATAGGAAGATACTGCATAAGAATCCATCACAAAATTGTCAGGTAAAACATTTTCTGATATATATATATATATATACCTTCATCACAAATGTTAGGCTCATATGAGTAGCCTACTTATGATGAGGGAGAGAAGCAATAAGGACAGTAGGATGTTAACATTGATGGCTGAGATTAAATATTGCAATTACAGATTTTCCTTTTTTTTTTTTTTTTTAATAATTTATTAATGCTTTTCTTCATCACAAGTACTCGTGAATTTAATTGAGAACAGAGCCTAGGAATTTAAAATACGAGGTTCACTTACAATAAATTTCATTTTAAAGCAGTGGGAAGTGAGAGTCACATGACAACGTGAAGTTTGATACTTGTATTCCACTACAGATGGTGTTTCTCCAGCAGCAGCAGCAGCAAGGCCAACAACAAAATCTAATGATTTTCTTTTGGAAGTAGACTTGATCTTCAATACCTTCCTCTTTTCGGAACCTAAATACATTATTAAAAATTAAAAAAAAAATAAAAAAAAATTTAAGTAGCAACAACAACAATAAAGCCTTACTCCCAAATAATTTGAGGTCGGCTAACAATTTCAAGTAACACTATGTTTTGCAATTGGCAAAAACTAATCCCTTTGTCCCACAATCCGCTTACGGATATCATCATGTATTCATCACATCAACCTTTTTTTTTTTTTTTTCTAGTGAAAATAAAATCGAACAAGAAGATATATATGAGACGGAAGAAGTAGTAACCTTCGCAATTACGGTGGCGGTGGAAGGTAGGGAAGTATAGGCGCTGACAAGCAGTAGTGGGATCAAAGACCTCGACATGGAAGAGGAGTTGGCTTTGATGTATAAACACCAAAAAATCATCCATTCCTAGTTGATTGTAGAGACAGAATTCTTGCCATCCATCTTTGAAATAGCGACCGCCTTCGATTTTCACATCCCAATGACGTTGAGACTCAGTCATTAGCACCACACTCTTGAGTGGCTGACCTTGCAATTCCTCCTCCAAGTACCTCAGAAATGACACTGGAATTGACTGCATGATATACAGGTAGAACTATCAGTGCTGGAAAATGAATATATCAAAAATTTGAACATAGATATTGTTAATTTTGTTTTAGTTTTTGCAAATAAGGAATTTAATGGTTAAACATATGCATCGACGACACATAATATACAAGTGGAAACAACTTTAAGAAACAAAGGGAGTATAAGATGCAGAAGAAGGAAGACAGACGAAGGAATTTAGGAAACCATCAATGAGGGGCTGCATGAATCGAGCATGTGTTGAATTTTCCATGTCTTGAAAAATTTTGCATCTAGAATTTTGGAAACAATAAGCTTTACGTCTTCATTACAAGTTTTTATATTTTGATTTCTTAAAAATAAACAGTGTTTTTGAAAATTTAACTGTTTCTGACAACTGAAGTAACTATTCTTGTAGCAGTATTCATGCCGAAAACAAGGCCAAAACACACAACACTTGGCCTACTCAACTTTTTACTGCCTCAAACTATGATAACAACAAACACCTTCCAGTCTCCATGACTAGGGATCACAATAATGACATCTGGTAAGACTCAGACTTGGATTGATAGGTCAAAAAAATCGTCCATGAAAATTATCATATACACTTGAGCGTAAGGTGCACCCAATTTTATTTTTTGCTCATTTGATGTATAATTGAGCAATAATTATCAAAATGAGCAAGAAATACCCTTGGTTGCACCTTGCACCTAGGTGTATATAAAAATTTCCGATCCCTCTACAATTGAAAGAACTTAAGAGGATAGACATTTTGCATACAAGCATATTGAATAGGGAAATAAAGTGTGGATTAAGTATCATAGTTATGTTAGGATGATCTTAATACTAACATGATTCTAATTATTAAGTAACATAGCCATTTAATGAATAATACCCTGGAATATTTTGAGTTAAAAGAAGAGATATATATTATATACTATAATTCACGCTTTTGGGTTATTCCTTTGAAACTAAAATTAGTTTGTGGTGCATCCCCAAGGTCATAAAAGTTGGCTTGAGACCATATGCCTTTCAGTTGGTCTATGAAGCTCGGAGTACAAGTTTGATTCAATCTTGCGGCTACAACATAATCTTGTCGCATTAGTAGTTGGGAGCTGCAAACAATTGTTCCTGATACCAGAATGTGCCCCTGAGGTCTCACGAGGTCCATTGGAAGCTTCTCGGCCTCTTATCTTTCCTTGCTTGGAAAAGTCAAAAAATGCCCAAAATTGAAGACTATAATCCCCGCTTTTGAGCTATTTTTGAGAAATTTATGCGAAAAATAAAGTGAACGCGTGGGGCATATCTCAGAGTCACAAAAGTTGTGTTGGGACCATAATAGGCCTTCCAATAGGTTTCTGAACCCCATGAATGAGCTCGGTTAAGATTTGCGACTACGATTGAATCTCATTGCCTTGGCAATCAGGAGCTACAATATATTGTTCCAGACAATGCCATCTTGAGGTCTAGTGGGGTCCATGGAAAGCTCCCCAACCTCTTTCCTTTTCTTGCTTGGAAAAGCTGAAATTTGCTCAAAAACGAAGGATATGATCCACACTTTCAGTTCAATTTCAAGAAATTTCTATGAAAAATGAAGTAAATGCTCAAGGTTCATAAAAGTAGGCTTGGGATCATAACGAACTTCCCAAAGAACCCGAAAGGCCTATTTGGATCCCAGGACCATCTAAATAATCCTTTTGATATGAATTTAAGATGTAACAAATAATTCTCACCTTTCCCTCACAATTGTGCTGTACATCATGTTCATGTATTCTCTTACAAATTTTTTGTGTACCCATCCCATTTACATTTGAAAGTAAAAGAAAGAGACTTTAAGAGGATAATATATCTCTAGGAATTTGCTGTAATTAAGCATATACAGTTTATTGAACTCAAATATAACTATTAAATAATTAGTCATGTTACTTGATTGTTTTATTATATTCTTACATTTGGGATACCAAGATGCAAAACTTATACATTAGCTTAGATAGATAGATAGTTGCACAACCATCGCACACATTACACACACACATTTCATTTGTATTTTACACCTAATTTAAAAACTTCCTAATTTTTTATACACCAAAGTACTAGTTGGATCGTTGGAAGCAAAAACAAGCAAGATCCATATCCACTGCCAAAATAAGTCATGTTGCCCAAGACATCATCCTTTGCGAAATCAGGATTTGCTTCCGCTGCTTAGCCCTGCTCAAAAATCCATTATTCATACTTGTGTTTATTTTAAAGATATTTATGTAATCTAGAGTAAAGTAGGAAGAACTAAAATAAGATCTGTTGAAGGGAAGATTACTACATACTGTAGCATTTCATGATAGGCCACCTTCCACACTCAAGGAGCCGAAAACAGATGCTATCTTGAGGTCTGAAAGAATTAGCAGCCTGGAATTGTTTCCACCCTCCCCTGATATAGGCTTGGCCATCATATTTTCTGTGATTCAGCTGTACTTTCCAAGCCTTACCTTCTCCATTTATAAGCTTCATGTCACAGCATCTATATTCTAGACCACTCGATCTAACAAATTTTTTAGGAAGGTACTGCACAAGTTTCAATGCTCATTAGTAAACTAACAATTTAGCATACATCATATTACTTGATGTTAGTTATTGATATCATCAGTAGTGGCTAATCAAAGGATGAATGACATTCTGCACGAGTCCATGCACAATTTTGCAGATATATGGGGGTGGAATTGGAGTGGGCTCTTGATCCTACTCCGTGTGCATGGCTTATGCTTTTCCGTGGCTAATCTTAGGCCTTGTGGACGGAAGTGACAGGCGAGCAACCATGGAGAGTGGATTATAGCTCTAAAAATATTGGGATGTCAAACCTATAAGCTGTTACATATCATCTTGCTTTCCTTACAAGAGTGACCTGCAGGCTATTTTCATACTACATTGGAAATTTCTTTTTACAATTAATTGCAGCTACGTATCTGTTCTTAATAGTTCAACCAAGACACAACACCACAAGAATCTGATGGAGTAGGCATATACAGGCAATACAGCTTACAAGTGGCTATTCAATTCCAACCTTAACATGATGGCACCAGTCCAATTATGTCTAACCGCCGGCAAAAATCCTGTGCAGGACAGACTTGAGGGATCGAGGATGTTTAATTAGGTGCATGCCATCTACTTGTACAATTACAAAGAGACTCATATAGACTAAATTGATTCAACCTATATGCTGCAAGCCTATCAGGAATTCCAAGCTGATCCTAATCTTTGATGTTTAATCTAATCTCAAGTGTTTTATTTCAAACTACCCTCCTTATTGAACAAATTCTTAGGAGTTCAAGATCTTCACCTCCTTATTGAACAATCTTCTAAAAAGCCCTTTACTTGAACAAAATTCACTGCTGAAAGAGGCTAAGTAGTACTAGTGTAAAACTAGCACTATGTAAAAATACTTCCATTAAGTTGAGTCAAGCAGAAGAGCCTCGAGTTTTCTACCAACGAGGTTCGAAGTACACAATATAATAAACATTACCAACAGCAATTATATACTAACAAATGGCTAAGAGCTAGAGGAATTTTGAAAGAAAGACATACAACTATTGTAGATGTAAAGGAAAAGGAAGTGAGAGTAATCCGACAGCTCAATTGTCGGCCTTCAACAGACGAATTGTCATGTACTCGAGCATCCGATGATCTTCTTTTTCCACTCATTTGGTCATTAGAGTTAAGCTTGGACACACAGGTACTCTTTGTCTTTGACCCTAATGAATAAATAATCATGCAAACATAGGTCAACTTTGAGTAATCCTAGGATAGACTTGTACTTAATTCCTCTTAGTTATATTATTAGGACTAGATATAAACACGAAATTGCAAAAAAAAAATGACAGAAAAGAACAGACCAATAAAATAGCGCTGACAGTAAGTGACAGGATCAAAGACAGAGACTTGGAAGATCAAGTTAAGTTGATGAGAAAACACCAGAAAGTCACCCACTTTTAAACCATGGTGGTGACAGAATTCCGTCCAACCATCCCTGAAACGACGTCCACCTTCGAGTTTGACGAACCAATGACAGGCAGGCTCATCGTCCGTTGTTAGCACCACACTTGGCATACTCTCCATTGATTTCACCTTCAATTCCTTCTCCAAGAGCTTCACAAATGCCATTGGGAGTGACTGTGCATGAAAAATGAATAATAACATGATTGACATTAATTATACTAAAACCAAAGAAATGAGCAATGTTTATATAAAAAGAAAGGGAGTTAAAAAGAGACTAACAAAGGAGTAGAGGAAATCAGAGAGGAGAGGCTGCATAAAACGAGCATTGTGGATGAGTTTGGAAGAGCTTTCCATCATACTAATTGTAAAAGCTTAAGCTCAAACTATTTACTTACTTATATCTCTCTTTCAGAGATGATGGATTGATGGAGTAGTAACTAGTAAGTGGGTTTCTAGTTTGTTCTTCTTGGGACTTTGGGAGTTGGGATGCGCGGGAAAACCCTTTGATATGACATATCGTCATGTCTAATTTTACTGTTACTTCACTTGAATTACTTTTTAGTTGAATTACTGTTAATTTCGGATCGGATATCCGAATACTCGGATATCAAAAACTGATATTCAAATTCAATTTGAAAATTTTGGATATTCGATATTCGGATATCCAAAATTTTCGGATCGGATGTTTCGGATATCCATTATCCAATATTAAGTAAAATTAATTATGATTATTTTTTAAAATCCACTCATTTTACCGCTTTTTTATCGTTAAATTGTAAAACATATTTTAACAAAATAGTAGTCTTTTTGCAATAAAAATTATCATCAAATATATTAAGAATATTATAATAAGTTAATAATACAGGGTCAGTTTTATATGAACAATTTAAAAACTTTATATATATTTCATTATTTCAACCTTTATATTTCGGATATCATATATCCAAAATTTTAAAAATCAATATAATCTGCATCCGATATCCATTTTTTCGGATCGAATATCCGATCCAAAATGAAAACTCGGATTGGATATCCAAAAATTCGGATCAATTACAAATCGAATTATCGAATTTTCGAATTCTCGAATAGTTTTGTACAAGCCTACTTCCTACGTTCTCTTCGTGTCCGCTTAGTTTATATTCTCAGACACTTTGACATGGACCATATTCTATATAACACAGCCCATTTCGCCTTTTGACATGCTATCTCAGTTTTCTTTTCATTTTTTTTTAAAAAAAAAATTATACTGCAAGAGAGGGTGCGACTAGACCCATTAATTTTTTACCTGACCCAAAAACCCAACTGGACCCAGCCTGTTATTTGTGGGTTTTGAACAAAAGTTTTTAACCCAAAACCAATTTAAACCGTAAATATGTGGGTTAAACCAAACCCGACCAGGTCTACCAGTGCGTGCGAGTTGTAATAGGGAGTGGAGTTCGTCAAGTTAACCTTTTGCTTACCCTATCGACTATCAAAAAACAAGGGTAAAATAAATTCCATATAGAATAACAATTTAATAATACACCAAAAACAATTCATCTGTGTCAAAAAAAAAACAATTCATCAAACACAAACAAATGCATATCAAGTTTCATTGGAGCGGGCACCTGCAGAAGAAAAAAAAAAAAATAGTACAGTACCAATAATCATATGGAATTTGGAAATAGTTATAAATTGAGATGTAGGATGCTGCCTAAAGCAAATAGGTAGCTGGCTGCAGCTCAATAAACAAAACAAAATCCGCTTTATGTAAGAAGAGCTACCTCATTACATCATTGATCTCATATCTAGAAAGCTACAAATTGGAATTACAAGTATACATCATTTGCTAACAAATGAATAGGGGTGCTAATCAAGCGAGTCAATCACGAGCTAAGGGGTGCTCAACTCGAAAACTTTTTTCATGTGCTGAACTCATACTCATTAAAGTTTCGAGCCAATAAAACCTGCTCGACTCGTGCTCGTTTAAAGTTTCGAGTCGAGTAACTCACGATATGCTTGTTAAAGTTTTGGTCCTTCTAAAACTATAGGCCTTTATTGTTTTTTTTCAAATTATATAGTTTTCTTTTATTTATTTTATTTATTATTAAAGATTTACTCTTTCTTTTTTGATAATATAAATTAACTCTTATTAAGTGTCAAATTTGTTTATAGTAATAACTTTATTTGTAAATTCTATACTAATAAAATATATTATCGAGTTGCTCACGAGCTTATCGAGTTAAAAATTGCTCAACTCGTGCTCGTTAACATTTCGAGTCGAGCCAACTCGAGCCGAGTTTTGACAGAGCTTTGACCGAGTCAAGTCCGAATTGCTCACGAGCTGCTCAACTCAATTAGCTCCCCTACTAATGAACTACGCTGGCTTCGCACTATAAGCTCAAAAAAGGAATACTACATCCAATAGATACAACAGCTGAGACAAAATTAAAAAGAAAACAAAGAAACAATATCCTATGGGATTTATATACTAAAGAAATCTGCCACAAGATGGGGAGAATATGGAAGAGGATATGTTACCCAAAGATTAAAAAAAAAAAAAAAAAAATGCCAAGGCAAATTTCACCAAGAGAAAGGGCTAGCACCCAGCAAGAAGATCTCATTCTCTACATCTTTTACCCACTGACAAACACGATTGCAAGTCTTGATTGCCAAAGCCTGCAGATTCACATCATAATATTTTTTTTTAAAAAAAAGGCTTAATGAAATTAGCACCAAAAAGTATGATGATACTATATAATTCATGAAAATTATCTTTAAACAGCAAAGGTATGAAGAAATATTAATAAAAGTATAATAACGCTCAAGTAACGAATGAATTGTGCTGGACTGCTTGGTTTGCAAGGCAGTGAGATAGGAGTTCATCATTGTATAACCATAATCCCATGAGTCCCATCAACTAAAAACAATACATGGTGATGAAATTATAGATCTTTAGCTCCCGACATGGTACTAAATGCAGAAGTTGCAGTACATAATATGCAAACTTTGTGAAACATGTTGGCAGAACAAAGATTATTTCTATTGCTGGTTACACCAATCACCAACAAAATTAAATTATAGCTACTTGTTGAGTTGGTTGGCAGAAGAAGATTTTGGTCATTGCCAGCTAAATTAAAAGTACACACTAGACTCAACACTTATCTAATTACCCCTTTTCCCTCCCTGTAGAACATCAGAGCAAATTATAGGGACAGCTTTTGGTAAAAGGGCCTAACTAAAATTTTACATCATTAGGAATAAAGCAGCAGCTCAAAAACTTTATAATCTTCCCACTTTCATAGTAAAGTATAGAAAGACACATAAGAGTATAGTGTTAGAATCCACCTTTGAGTTATTTTAAGACGCTACCTTATGAGTTTTTTTAGAATAATCGAAACCACCTTATTCTTTTCTAAGCTCCAGCTAAAATGACCTGTAACCAATGTTTTCTACCAAATTTTTTCTTAGCATACATTAGTTAGTCCACATGGGAGCATAAATTTACAGCATGTTTGATATAGTGTTTTTAAGTGGTAGAAATAAGATCAATTAATCATTTCCCCTACCAACTTTTTTGGTATGAAAGGTATAATAACAACTCCATTTCTAAGGGTAACACCCCCCCCCCCTCCCCCCCAAAGAGAAAAAAAAAAAAAAAAAAAAAAAAAAAAAAAAAAAATCCAACCCCATAGTAACAAAACTGTTTTCCTCTTCAATCTATCAATAACTACTTGCATAAACATACAATTGACCAATAAATCACCCCAACTATTTGATGAGCATATTACATATGTTACAACACAGTTATACCTTGTCAGCAAGGGGGTCAAATGCAGCATATAGCTCAAAATCTTGAGTCACCCAGCAAAGTAGGACTGCATTAAATTAAAATTCGTAAATAAATTAATCAAAAAATAAACACAGTTGAGTAATTCTTGGCCTTCATGTATACTATGACAATACTACAGAGAATGCAGACAATATTTACCATAATTTTCATCTCGCCGAAACTGGGTCTTGTGGGGACCAAATCCTTTATCATGCATGGAAGCATAGATCTTCTGGTACGCTCTAAATAATCTGTCTCAATAGTAAATTGGAGTTAATAATTACTGCATTTCAGGTTCAGTGGAGAAAACAACTCTATGCATCTGATTACAGTTTTTACCTTTTCTGCTGCTGTGGTGTATTGATTGGGGATGAGAACTCTGAAGATACATACTGATCCAAGTATATGCTGCAGTATATAAAATGCCAGAGTCCACAAGGACCACCAATACCAGTGTATGTATCCCTGAATCTCTCTGGAGAATGTTGGCCTAAATGGGAAGATGCAGAACCAGATCGAGAAGATGGATCCACAGGTAAATCCTCAATATGCATCCCGCCATCTAGCATAGATCTTTGGACCTCACTAAGCACATTTGACTTCAGAAAAACAGCCTCGATACTTGCCCTGTAGCAATCAAATTCTCCCATGAAAAAAGGAAACAAAAATTACAAAGGAAAACAGTGTGCATGCTTTTAGAAATACTCAAGGATGGTTTGGAATTAAACATAAAAGTACTTCAAAGTTCAAACAAAAATTTTACTGGAGGAGCAATAGTCCTTTTTCCTTGTCAAAATATTTATATTTAGTAAAGTTAAATCAAAGTAAACAGAAGTGAAGAAAAGAAGTCCAATTTCGCAAGACAGCAATCCAGAAGAAGAAAGCCATCTGTTCAAGCTGATTTCCATAATAGTGATTTCTTTACATACTCAGCTGGCTGAAACCCAAAAGCCATGCAAAAAATTACACCTTACTGACCTTCGTGTATGGCTTTAAATTCAAAGACAAACATTAGTGGTACCTGCACTCCTTGAGATGGTAAAAAGCATCAGAGCGAGTAGTGAGCAACATCAAGTATGTATCAGCCTGCAACGACCCAATGCATCAGAATTGTCTAAACATAACGCACAATCAACATGTCACTATGCTAAAAGTTTTGACAAACTCATATTTGATATCTGTAAGTTTTATTGCATCTATTAAAATTCATAAAATCAACAAAAAGGGAGTAAACAGATTTTTATGTCATAGATAAAGTTATTCTGAAAGTAGAAACTAGACCTTAACATAATAATCAAATAAAGAAAACCAAGCAGTGAAAATCTGGACTAATCAAAAGCACAAAGAAAACCAAACAGTGAATCTGGACTAATCCAAAGCACAAAGAAAACCAAACAGTGAATCTGGACTTCTAAAGCAGGAGCAATGTCACTTACATCCAGATATTGAACATATGCGTATAAAAAAGCCATGGGATTATATTTTGGCAAGCATATTGGTGAGAAAGACTCAGATGTCCTGCATGTAGACAACATGAAAAGTAACAAGGAGTTATTTTAGTGCAGCAGAAGCAGCATTATACGTAATCGTAAGCAGAATATGTTACATATGCAATTCATTGACAAAAAAAAATTGCCTGTACTGAATCAAAAAATGGAAGATAATAATAATAATAATAATAATAATAATAATATCAGGGGGGGGGGTGCTGCTATCGGCAAGGGAGAGCACACATAATAAGTCCTTGCAGATAATTGAGCAGAAAAAATCATAGTATATGTGTATACCCATATTAGACAGTTAATAATATATAGATCACAATTGACTAAATAGAACGTTTTTTTAACTGTGATTACTTCTATTCACAAAATGTAGCCAATCAACGGCTATCCCCAAGGGGTTGTTTTGTGACACACATATAGACATCTTAGCAAGACGCAGTGAAGTAAAGTGCAATAGCAGGTTGACAAAGGATGCATACACAAAACAGACCATTATACTTCCTCGGTTCACCTAATATTGCAACAGGAGGGAAAACAAAGATGAGGAGAGAGAGAGAGAAAAAGATGTGCAAATATGGTAATGTTGCAATATTTGTGAAACTTCCTAAACAGTTATTGTTGCAATATTACGAGAAAGGAGGAATTATAGTTTACTGATAATCCAATCCAGATTTCATCTTTCTGTACCCTAGAATTTGAAAAAATTTCACCATTCAGGCTATTAGTTTGTTGGGCAGGGAGGAGAAGAAAGGCCATTGAAGGTGATGGTATCAATGTAACAAACAAGATAGAGAATCATCTCATGGCCTGGACTGAAACTCTACACTATGGAAGCCATCCAGTCTGCCAGCACCGTAATACTATCAGGCCAGAATATCAGCAACATACTAACCCTCGAGTTTTATATCTCACCTCCAACAAAAGGACCAAATTAGCTCTTTGACATCATGAGAAAGCAGCGACATTCAATCTATCGAGTAGTGAATGCCAAAATATTTCCTAGACAAGAATATCTTCAATCAAGTATCACTTTTGGTGACTCCGATTTTTTCTACTGTGTAAACTTCCAATACACATAGGACCTACATACCAGACCAGATCACCTAATTAAGTAGTCCCTGAGATTTGAGCTCTAAATAAGTCACAACTCACAAGAGTTTCTCTTAAACAATGTTAGTCCTTGCTTCCCACACAACACGCAAGTAAAGATGCAAACGTAAATGAGGTGAGATTAGTTAGTAAGAGCTGCCCACCCTCCCAAGTCCCATCCACAATTTCCAAATATTAAATGTCATCCTCATAACCGGGTGTTCAGTGAGAGAGCTCTGGCCAATCTCCCTCAGTTCCAGCTGGGACAAAATCTCTAGCCAAGACACAACATTGGGTAGACCATGGACTAACAGGGAAACCTTCATAGCCAAAAGGCACAAAGGAATAATGGAAACAGATCAAAAGACGAGGATAGATCAGCCAAGACCAGTCATTTATAAAGTCAAGAGGAAGGTAGGAGCTTAACACGTCAAACAGAGCTGGATCATGCTCAAATTGGAGAAGTCGTATTAGAAATTTGTCTTTAAATCTCTATTTACCTAGTAAGTAGTGTATTTCTCAGTCCATGATTCAACAAAATAAGAAGACATATAACTCTTGTCCTTCCAAAGCAGTGATGGTCTCAAATCTCAACTGCTTGGAGGTGAGATTGCATAAATCCGATGCCACCTTCAACAAGATCAATACAATGAAATTGGGGTTATTAATATTATTTTTGTGATGGGTTAAGGTTCTTCACTAAAATATACCATGAAAATATTACAGCACTAAAACTGAATTATAAATAAATAAAACAAGGTATCCTTAACCGTGATTTACACTTCAAGTTTCCAACTACATGTGTTATTAAAATGGATTGTGTGTGTGTGTGTTGAGGGGGGGGGGGGGGGTTGGAGATTACTGACGAGCTACTTGGTACTAGATTTTTACAAACAAACATAGTTTCAACTCCCTGGAAAACAATCTGCCAAACCTCAAGTAACATATATATACCCCTATACCACAGCATGACAAGGGAATTGAAACATGTTAAAGCCTCAGTCTAGCAATAACTGGTATAAGAATCCACCCTAATGTCAACAGATTACAAATGTGGAAAAATATTAGCAAGCTTGCCTGAATGACTCTGATGACATAACAAAGTTTGACAACAGTAGCATATCATCTGGATGAAGAGAAGCCTTTTGCGCCCCAACAAGACTAACAACCTGCAGCTTCACAGAGTAAGATATCTGGAGTAAATTCAATAACAAAAAGGGAAGCATTCAAAGATATAGCAAAACCTTGTGTTTACACATCAATATCGCAAATAAGACCCCTGAATCAGCAACATCTTGCAATATGGCACCTGCAGCTTGCCTTGTTGGATAAGCAAGAGGTAGGCATGTATAGGCATGTAGAAAAGTAGCTGGGTTCCTGATAATAGTTGAAACAAAGGTTTATATTTATGCCAAGCCACAATGAAGATCATACTATCCACCAATTGAATTAAATAACATAGTACAAAACGCAAATTGAACAACGATAATTAGTAAGCTGAATAGACATACTTTAACAGAATATTGAAAAAAAGTCTAATTTCAGAATAATAGGCAAACTATTAGATAGGTCTATGAAATTTACATTAAGAAAAGAAGAAGATATAAAGGAAATGTCAACCAAAAATAAAATAAAATAAAATAAAACTAACGTGACCTCATACCACCATGAACTTCCTCCGTTTTTTTTCTTTATTTCTTTTTTAGATGAATAACTTTTATTTTCACAATTGCTAATGCAAACTTCAACCTTTGCTATCAACGAGCAAACATTTTTTATTAACAAATATAAATAAAAATTTGAAATAGACATTGAGAAGAATCTAACAAAATCCATATGGCTATGTTTTACCTCAAGTCAGTGTTTCATAGTAATATTCAAAGGTTTTCGTCTATAACATAAAAAGGGGAAGTATATCTTATAAATCATGAGAAAGATAATTGCTGCTTGAAGTGCAACACTGTCTCCGATTATAACAAAGCCTCAAAAAAGAGAGATTAAAATATTTAAGCAAAAAAATATTGTTGTCATGTACTATGTATACTGATGCTTCAAGTACATAAACATTAGCCAAACTGTCATCATTCTCTCCAAAAAGTTGCAAATTGCTAACCAGACACCAATAAGAATCAGCACAAAATGCACATAAAGTAAGGATGTGAATTATTAAGATCTGTAAAAGTAATAGAATAACAGGGACGAGTAAGACAGACCAGCTGAAGGAATGGATGAGAGATGAAAAAACAGCATCTGTTCCACCAAGCAATGGTGTCATATCAAACTTTGAATTCTTCTCAAAGCATCTATTCACAGACTTTGTCAAAATAAGGATCATCTGCATACAAAATGTCACGGTGCACAAGTCAAAATTAAAGTTCCATTCATCAACCAATAATACGCAGAGAACCCAAGAAAAAGGAAGCTACCTGACCATAAAGCAGCTCCAACTGTCCTCTTAAAGACTCATAAGGTTCCTCTGTACAGCTAATACAGACCAAATATATAGGTCCCTTCACAAGAAATACCACCTGAAATCAAAGTAGAGGTTAACAGGGTATGAAGTTATGCGGAAGTAAATGCGTGACTGAACGATGGCGTAAAAAGAAAAACATGCTATAAACCAGCAGATTCTTTCAATAATTCTCCAAGTACGATAGCATGTGTTATTAAATCCATTAAACAACAACCACATCAAGCAGCAATACATCTACATCATGGATGAGTGTCAAGCTCCTGGTCAACTTCTTGAAATCTAGAAGTTATATTGATTAAAATCATATCTATTTATGCCTTCATTAGTACAAATGACAAAAAAGAATGGTAAAGGGAATAGTAATATGACCTTATGAGCTTAATATCTATCTAATATGAAATCTAATTCATATATGTCAGCTCATACAATAAAAACAACAAAGCCTTAGTCCAAACATGATCCAGAGTTGGCTAGCATGAACCGTCATAAGGAACGTCTACGGGAACAAAAAATATAGATAAGCTAGCAAAAGTATCATAAATATACGCTCATACTGAGTACGAATAATTTGACTTCAACAACCCTTATTTCTTAATAAAAGTCACCTTTGTCCAAAGTTTATGAACTGTGACCATCATTATATCAAGAAAAGTATATAGATCCACAATAAGAAAATATAATGAATACAGTTGTACTTAATTTTTAATATAATAATTTAGAATATTTTATATATATATTTTCTCCATTTCAAAAAGACCTTCAATCTTTCCGTTTCAGTCTATTCAAAAAAGTCTGGCCTATTGTTTCTTTGTTCCTTATTTAATTCATAATTTGGTAAATGTTTTTTCCTTATTACGCTCCCATGCCTCACTTGTCAGACCCACTCAAATCCCCCTTCTCTTACAAAGTTACAATCACATTCTATCCCCTATTTGAAAAGTAAAAGAGTACCCACTTTCACACTCTCTCCCCTCCTTTCCTTGGCTTCTGTTGTTACAAAACTAGTTAAGGTGTTGATGAAATGGAGTATATATACAAGGTTTGTTTTCAAAGTTCTAATAAAAAATATATAAATTTGTATTCAAAAACCACAAAAGGAAAACAGGAAAGGATGTAGTAAGTAGGATTACAATGCTAAGAACACCTCCATAATTCATATTAGTACGTAGGATCCCGTTCCCTACAACCTCGCCACCAAATTAACATGGTTTATGTTAACCCAAGTGGATCTCACGACCTACGGATAAATCGCATAGCAGTTTTAACTCCAATTTAACATAAAGTTTTAGTGCCTTAAAGATGACAGGATACAAGTAATTACTTTACATGACAAATTGGTGCCAATTCTAGCTACACATATTTTCCATGTTTGAATTTTATTATTAAATTACCATTTCATGGACACATTGTGACTTCTAGTACCATGGTCAAGACGCAACTCTACATGTATGGTAACTCAGAAACAAGCCAAGCCCTGACCATAGTCTGGACTCTGGAGGGTTCACTGTACACAGCCCAAGGCTGAGGGAGGCCCAAACTGAAAAAAGAACCCCCCCCCCCAAAACAAAAAAAAAAAAAGCTCCATGCACTATTGACCATAATACCAGAGCTCTAGAAGAAATAATATTGTAATACACGTGATCTTTAATCCAACGATGCCAGATATCAGGAGTCTCTTCCCCTTATTCATCCTACTTCCTCCCATTTCTCTTCATGCTGCTTCCACCTTCCACAACTCAATTCCCCCAGCAGTGACCTCCATCTTTGATTCAAAATCCTTAATCCATCCTATAAATTTTGTGAATATATAATCTTTTCACCCTCTACTTCTACTCCCTCCACTTTTCATTAGTCTTGCCACTGGATCTTTTACCCGTTTATATTCATGGTCAGAAGCAGTGTTCAATTCTTCGTATACTTTCTTTCATGTGCCAAGATACTACAGAGTAGTCAATAGAAGCTATTTAGAAAAGAATAGTCTGTAGTTTACACTGCAACAGATTTGTTAAAGTAAGAAACACAGAAGCAAAAGGCTACAAATTCTACAATTTGTGAGCGGAAAGCTTCGTAAATGAAAATACTATAGCAATGGAAGTAAAGAGTACAAACAGGGAGAACCAGAGGTCCAAAGAGAATGAAAGATGCAAGTCCTCCTACTTTCCGGTCCAGCCATGGTACGGCACCTGAACTCGTCTCGGATACTCAATTTAAAGTGCGCATTAGCTAAGACCCACAAAATACTTAAACCACAACACTCACGAACAAACATCATTCCTACTCAATGCCAAAATTCCTTTCCCCAAAGCACCCACAAAAAAGTAAAGATAGTAAGCAACAAGAATAGAAGCCTTAATCCCAAAGATAGGATCGGCTACATGAACCAAGATTTTATCTCCAATACAAGCCTACTGTAACAGTCAATTTGGGCCAACCTAGGCAAAGCCATCGACCACCCCGCATAGGCGCGCAAGGCCTTCGGGAGCTCGCTTGTCTACGTGAGTAAGTGCATGCTCGATTCGAGAAGAACGAGCCAAGTGAGGCTAAGGTAGCTCACAACCATGTCTAAGGCTTGTGAGGTTATCAGGGATAGCCCCAAGTGCTTAGAGGTTATCAGGAACTTGATTAGCTAGGCCTTGGGCCTAGTGCAAGCATGCGCGCGCGCGCACCAAAAGAACCTTGGATTGTTTGGATGAGCAAAACTCCATAACAACCTTTGGTATTGATTGAGGGGGCTTATTAGGACCCTAATAGATCATACATGGCCATAGGGCCAAGGTTGGGTTCAAGAATCGGACTTGAGAGCCCATTATTGTGTTACTGTCAGTAGGGTGTTCACTAGTATTACTCTATAGGGGGCGAGTGCTCACTCAAGGGTCTGACCTAAGGGTGGCCCTATGGTAGGAGCCTTGGGCATAGTCTTGGACATAGGATGGCCTATGGGGACTATAGCACACATGAATGGCTATGGTGGACACTAAATAGGACAAACCGACTCGGTAGTCCCGATTAGGGCGGACGCGGGGTGACCAGTAGGGGCCTATGGCTTAGTACGGTGCATGCTAGCTCGATGGTGCGTGGTTTGACAAAGGGTTGCTCTTGTAATCATGATAAGGCGTCTCTATGGTCCACTACTATGGTGGAGAACATGGTGGCTCCAGCATGGAGGATCAAGCGCGGCCCTGGTCAACGATGACTATGGTGCCTACGTTGGAACCATGGACTTGCGTGGCCATGTGATGGATGCTAAGGAAAAGCCTTGGCTTGTAAATTGGTCTAATTAAAGCTTCCCCTAGTGGACTATTTATAGTAGGAACTCCTTGACGGTTAAGCTTAGTCATCGTGGCTAGCATGCGGTTGCCTTGATTTTAGGGATTGGCTAAGTAGTGGGGCTAGTGGGCGGTTAAGATAACCACCCACGTTGCACCACTCTCCCTAAAAAGTAGGGACGGTGATGCTGAAGTGGCATGACTAAGTATGATTCCTAAAATATAGGACCATGATGTTAGTGGGTTGACTAACGGTTATCTTGATCGGATCTTTGACCGAAGTCAAACGGGAATGCGGTTAAGCCACTACGGAGGTGGTTCCTATAAAATAGGAACACCAAAGTAGTGGGGTGTGGCCTAGATCGTGGGTAGTTGTTATGAGAGGATGATGCCACGTCACTTGGTAGTTACACCACTCACTTAGTGGTCCTAGAAAATAGGAACACTAAGGGAGAGTGGGCGGTTACACATCAGGCGGTTGAACGCCACATAAGCACACTGGTGCATGTCTCCTGAAATCTAGGAGCATGGCATAGTGAGGCTTGACGGTTACCAAGCAATTATGGGATCATGCTGAATGTGGGTAACTCCCCCTAGCACGTGGACAAGGCTAGATGCATCAAAGTAAACATACAAGTAATGGGCAATTACTAAATCATGGGCGTAGTGGGTAGTAATCCTACCTGAGATGTAGTTAGTGCCTATAAATAGCCCAAGGCGTTCATTTGCTTGGCAGCGAATTTTAGGAGCTCTAGAGAGAGATTCTAGAGAGAAACTCCTTGTATTTGTAAGCCACAAAATAATAAAGTGTTCTTACTACTATTGGTGCGTTGTCTCTTGTTTGTGTGCGTATGTTCTTATTGCTTGAGTGTTAGGCTGGTCTAGACTCGGTCTAGGCGCCATCACGAGAACCTTCTAAGTTCCTATTTTAGAAAAAAAATATAAAAAAACTAGTCCACAAATTATCCCATGACACCTACCATGATCTTAAAACGCTAGCCACTGCCACAAAATCCTATGTCCCTTATGCCTATCTGCAAATGATCAAATAAGTTTCTTAGCTAACCCACCTTATGCTGACACCATTTAACAGCTTCTGTCATAAAAGGAGACAGCTTACAAAAGAAATTCAAATGCCTACTAACTGCCTCTCCACTAGAAGATGCACAAGTGAGAGAAACACTTTATTTAAACTCTAAACCAGTAGTTTAACTAATATTGACTACTTAGTCTCTCCGATTTTGCTGCTCACACAAATGGCTTCACACACTTTGAAACCTTAGCCTTCCAAAAAAACTGGAAACTTGAAATTGTTGTGAAAATGGTGTTATTTGTATCCCGTCATAGAACAAATGATAAATGCAAACGCCAAACTCAGCAAACTAGTCCTTATTGTCCTAGGAATCTGTCAATGATATAAACTGAATCAACTGAAGAGCAGCCTCAAATCTTGCTAGCTCACTGAACTTCCACTAGAGGCTAGCCCCCAATATTGCCCATGAAAGTATATTGGTTCACAACAAACAGGCTTCCCAAATTCAATATGATCCTTCCTACCTACCTCAGCCGTACCTAACTAATGGCATATAGTTCTGTGAGATAGCTTTTATGAGCCTATGCAGGATATGATTTATGAGTACCCGCTGACACATCCCATCCATTTCCCAAACAAAATACCAGCTTTCAGTGGATCCAATCCAAAGAGAGCTTGGATCTTGATGGAGCTTCATAACCATTTTTCCATCAAGTTCTTGAACACCAAGCTCCAAACTGCAGTTTTCAGGTTGCAGACACTTCCAACTTACAAAGCGATCTCCTCCCTTTCTCCAAACCAACTGAAAAAAAAAATATCCCTTAACCTTCTCCACCCTCTTAGGCTACATCCACTACAATTGAGAAGAAAGTAAAAGAAATACCAAAAGATAAATTGTATCATGTAATATACACCCTATCCCCAATATTAAGAAAAATAAGCCTTTTCTGCCAATTTAGCATACAAGAGGTGATCATTAGCCTGAGCATAGAGGAAAGAGGGTTTTATTATCAATACAACTGAACAACAAAATTCATATTCTAACAGTAATCTATGATACTCGGACTCTATATTGCAGTTCAAATATCCATGTCTGACACTTGATATTCCAAATAAATATAGATAATTGGATGCTTTGATTTTGGCATAAAACGAAAAACTTAATGCTTTTCACTTATGCATACATGAATAACAATTAAAAGCATCCTTATTCACATGTCGCGAACATAGCTTTGGTACTTGAAAACATGTCCGGACATCTCAAGTTTAAAAGTTTCCATGTCAGATATACCCATGCACAAGCGCAACACTAGTGTCTGAGTCCATGCATAATAAACACTAGACATAGCTATAATAAGAACATGAAGACATTGATATACCAAATTAACGGAAAGGTTTGCTCTATATATAAATGATTTAAAAAAAAAAAAAAAAAAAAAGGTGCAATGTACATTAATAACTCCCTTTGTTTCACCATGACAGTTTTTAGTTCTCAAAATATGCATAATAATAAGATCTAAAAAATAGTAAACCACAATAGTCAATAAACTCTCAGTTAAACTAACCATTTGGGAGTGAAAGGCAATTAACAGTGAAATCACAATAATCGGAAATGAAAGAAAAGTGAGTGAGCAACAATCTTAGCAAAATGAAACAATAACCTGATGCTTTCCTGCCCGAACTAACTTGACACGATCACCCCTGTGAGAATAGTTTGGATAGCATATTGTTTAGATAACAAGCTTGCATACTAGAAAACACTGTAAAATTTGCAATTTACTCAAGTGACCTACCCATTTTCAACAAAGGAAATTATAGCTTGCAACGTTGCTGAAAATCCAGCAAGCTTATGTTCATCACCATACCTATTACAAGACAGCAAAAGTCATTTTAAAAAAAGTATACGGATACAAACGATGATTCCTACATATGATTGTCAAATCCACCAAAGTAGTACGGAGTAATAAGTAAATCACAATATAACAACTTGAAGGCAGAAGATAGACCTGGAATATATAGGTTTCCCAGAATTACTAAGAATGAAGAAGTGCTTTTTCCTTTTCCTCCATGAAACAGAGGCATCGTCCTGCATATTCATACCGCAATTGGTATCAACGGTTTCACATAAGAAAACCCTATAACTCAACAGATTAATTAACACAGCCAAAACATTAACGAGTGCAATCAATGAATTTCTTCCCATACTTGATACTATTCCCTACGTTAACCAATACCCACAATTATTGAACAACACAAGGGTTCATAATAACTACTTCTTAATCCAAATGCATAGTCATTGAAAAATTCTTATTTGAAATGATATGATTATATACTTTATACTGTAAGTAAGTAAATAGTATGATGATGAAGTAACTGAAAGGGCAGTTAAGGAGGGAAACCTCATTAACATGTCGCTTGCCGGGAACCCAAGGCGGTTGAGAATCAGCTATGCCATTGACTAAACCTCCATCACTCTCTCCAATCTCTTCAATCCCAGATGCACTACTGGCATTACTGCTACCTCTTTCCCCAGCATACCCACTACTTCCAGGGCTTGTAGGAGCTTCCCCTTCCACTTCTCTCCACGCCACGCCGGTACCGCCACTCGCACTCACTGAATTACTTTCTCTCTCCTCTTCTTCATCTTCCTCCACCACCACTTCAATGCTAACCTCCTCCTCTACCTGTGCAACATCGATTTCCGGTATTGGAGTTCGATGACTCTCCTCAATTTCACTTAAATCAATTTGGGGATGTGATTGCGATGACGCTTGATCGTTGATTGGAGGAGCTAGGTCATCATCAACAAGAGGAGTCAATGTGAGTGAGCTGAGGTGATCATCAATGGCGGAATCGTTGGTTGGAGTATCGGGAAAGGGATTAGGATTTTGGATATCGGCGGCGGAATCGTAGGCGGAGTCGGAAGAAGTGGAATCGGAGGCCATAGGAGAGAGAACCACCTATGGCCCCAAACCAAACGCTAACTGATCAATCGAATCGTCGAAATCAAAATTAGGGAAGAGAGATTGATGAAATGAACAAAATTCTGGATTATTAGAAGTATAGTTAATCTGAATTTTGAAATGAGGGATTATTGTGAATTTGTGAGTAGTTTAGGCGATGAAAGTGAGGCACGTTTTCGAGTTTTGGGGAAGAAAGGAATCGTGAAATGGTTCAATTAAAATCTGCAGGTCAATCCTACGTGCGACTAGTTGGTGGTTGCAAGTGTATGCGCCTCGTGGGAACGAAATGGATCGGACTAAAGAGCGTGTTCTCTTCCTTAGAAACATGGAGATTTGGTCTGATTTTATTAAGGTGTAATTTAGTCTTATCTGATTTTTTATTATCTGATCTAATCTGATTTAATAATTTAACTAAATATAGACCTCATTTTAATACTAATCTATAAAGAAAAACATTATCAAAACGAATCTAACTTATCAAAATGAATCTTGTTAGATTCGTTTTATTATGATTTTCAAATATGTAATTTTCATAATTCATTTTAATTCGCAATTAACGATATTTAGCAATAAGTAAATGATAATTAAAGTTTTGATCTGACTTGATTTTAATGTTTCTGCTTTGGCCTGTTTTGATCTGATCTGAATTTATTAAGAATTAAGTAATAAGTATGTGAAACAAATTGAAGAAAACAAGTCCTTTGTGCTACCAACCTGAGATAGAGGGGTGTAAGCGAATTGGGACTCTTTATAAATACGATTAATACTTGTATAGAGTATTAATAAATAAAGTCATGTTCCTTCATTTGGTATATATTGAATTTATAATATTTCCATAATACTTTAGCTCCCCGTCACTTAAAGTGATGAATTGATTCATGGGTTGTGTTGTATTTTAATCACTCCATGATTAATTATAGGCAATAGCAATGACAAAATGCCCCTGAGTTGGTATATAGCAAAAACTTCAAGTGATCCTATAATTACAATATAAAGCTCATCAAATATTCGATTCACTTTCAATTATTTTTATTTTCTTAAATAATAATTTCGAATCTCCAAACTCATGAAAATTACATAACCCTATTGAGTTGGAAAGTGACGAAATGGTTATGGTTGTCTCTTAGTGGCATTTGTCAATCATCAAACAAGAGTGTAATGACACTTGGTAGTCGCTAATTGGTGTTGAATAGCACTTGTCAATCATCCAATCACTTATCAATGCCAAAATGAGTAAAACAAAATGAAGCAAAGTGGACGATTTAATTTCGTAGATTGTTTCATATAAAAGTTACTACCAATCAACAACATTTTGTCAGAATTCTTCAAAAGTTAACAATTACACTTACTACGAGTAAAAAAAAATATAACCACTTTTCACACATATGGTTCTGCAACAATCCATTAAATTTGTAAGTCCAAACACCCTCATTCTAGACAAGACATATGGATTAACTTGTAAAACATTATTTTAAGCAATAATGTATTAAAGTGAAATCAAAATAGGTGACAATAAAGATGGCATTGGCATGTCCAATTTGCGACACAGCATGAGCCAACACTAAAAAACGCACAAAGACGTGACCTGTTATCATCCATGTTGTGCCACATATTTTTGGAAGATATTAAAAAACTTTACCTTGACATGACCCGACATGATAAATCACACTAATATACATGCTTAATACACAAAATAACACGATTACATTGCATGTAAAGGTTCCCTCCATAGGCTGGATAGAAAAGATAGGCTCGAGTCATGTCATGCCAGCGTGCCTCGTGCTCAAGTAGTCATGTCTACAAACGGACATGAAATAGTCAGGTCATGCCGAACTCATATCGATCTTTCCAAAATGAAGCTCATGCACAACACAACTATATCACCGACAAGTTCAAGTTTAGTTAAATAAGTGGATTGATTCATATGTATGGTGGGCTAGATTGGTGTGTTAATGGGCTGTGTCAGGTAGATTGTGCAAAATAAGTCAGGTTTTACAAATCAAAATGGGCTGGGTTGAGAAAACTGGACACACAACACACACCCCAGCCAAAATTGGGTCGTGTTGGTTGGTGCTGGGTTGATCCACCAGCCATGCAGGTCAGAGTGGGTTGTGCACAACTCGTCCCACTAGCCGCCTCTAATTACGTGCAGTATGCTCCTTATGTTGTGTTTGGACCATCCTTTCAAATTTCTACACTATGAGACGATTGTCTATGTACATTAGCATAGCCAGGTCTAAGACATGGCCCGACATGGCCCACATCCGTCTATAATTTCTCGTGACAAGCAACCCCATTGGTATTACCCCAACTCGTGAGAAGACTGACCACCTTAACGTAGGGTCCCGGATCCGTTAACTGTTGAAGTACGCTGACACTTGAGAAGGAATCAACGCGGTTTACTCACTCTGCTATTTTTCTTTACGCAATTTTGTTCATTGAGATCGGGATTTGGAATTTTATATCATTTGTGAACCCATTATTTCAGGACCCCTGTATCTCTTTTATTCTCTTTTTTCTATCTTTATTATCTATGTTCTTCCCTTCTTCACACCATCACTCCCTACATTTTCCAATCCTATTTGACTCATTTAATCCTACAAAAATCTTCACTTTTTTTCTGGGTTTTATTCTATCCTCCAAATATCTACACATTTCATGTAAACTAAATTCTGTGTTTTCATTCAATCTTACATTTTTTATTCTATTCAAATATGTAAATTAAAGTCTGGGTTTTGTGACATTTTATTAAAGCATGTAAATCAATTCCTGGGTTTTCTCAGATCAATTTGTGAAGTTGCATGTCAGATCAACTATTGAGATCACTCTTACAATTAATTAAGAAGAAAGCTTAATTAATTGATTTGGTTAATCCACCATTAACAATGGAAGTTCTTCCAGATATTGAGGCCACTCAATATTTGAGGTTCGTATGATTTCTTCTTTTGATTTCTTTTGTTATTTCGGGGTTATTTGATATCTGGGTGTCACTTGATCAGCCTTATTTGATATATTTCTGTTTTTTTGTTTGGATATATTTGTAGTTCACAAGTGATGCATGTTATGTTAAAAGATGATTAAGTGTTAATCATAGATTATCGGATCAAAATCTTTCAAATACTATTTTGTTAAATTGGCGGTGATATAGTTGTGTTGTTGTACCTAACATTGTGAATTATGATTAACTACTGTAGACTGTAGTGGTATTGTATGTGATTAGATGCATTGTCCTTTAATTCACATTATAATGTTGGGGCGGTGGTAAGTGGTTATGGACTTATGGTGGGCCCCCAGAATCGGAGTCAGAGGGGAACCTGTCAGACTGTCAGTCAGTCACTAATCAATACCAAACTAAGTAAAAGAATAAGAAGTGAGGTTGATTGTCATGTAGATTGTGTCATAGGACGGTAAAAGCTGCAAAATCAACAATATTTTGTCAGAAAGTTGCAATTTGCAAAAGCTTGGACTTGTGTACTCTTCATTTAATGCTACTGTACGATCAAATGGGAAATGAAATTATGTCATGGTGATTGGTGACAAATGTGAATTTAGCTGCGGCATGTCTTTTAAGGCCTTTGTACAGGATATACTTCGTATTCGATAAAAATTGTTAAAAGAAAGAAAAGAAAGAAATATTCGTCGAATTTATTATAGTGATCTAGTGAGTGAATTGGACTAAGCCACTCATTTGAGTACATCTTGTTGATTATTTTGATAAATTAGTAAATTTAGGGAGTGAGCAAACCTTTTGGCTTGGAGCAGTGCACATAAACATTTCACTTATAATTTTGATTATATGTGGAGTACTGGGTTTGCAAGTTTGTTCAAGCAGATGTTTCCACTATAATGTGCGTCTACTGTACTAAAATTATGCTTCGTATGTAAGGAAGATTATCTTGTTGTAGCTAAGGTTTTGGAGTAAGTTTGTTGGGGATCGATCAGTAAATTACTGTGTGTTATATTTCTTTGTGTTTACAATTGGCCAACTGGTGTCTCTTGCCTACAGTTTAATTGCTGCCTTATCTTATGGAGCTACTTCTATGGCTATGGTCTTCCTCAACAAGGCAATCCTCATGGAATACTCGTACTCAATGACTCTCCTCACAGTCCAGGTACGTGATGAAATTTTCAAACTTGTAATTTTTAACCTTAGCATAGTGTTAGTAGCTAATAGTTTGCCTTGTTTTATTTCATTCAAATTGATTTTTTTGCTTGTTTCATGTCTAGCAATTGGCAACTGCTCTGCTTATTCACATCGGTCGTGTGATGGGATACACAAAGGCCAAGGCTTTGAACATGGATACTGCTAAGAAGCTTCTTTGGGTGTCACTTTTCTACAATGCCAATGTAGCCTTTGCTTTAGCAAGCTTGAAAGGAGTTAATATACCCATGTACATTGCGATCAAACGACTTACACCACTCGCTGTGTTGGTGGCTGGATTCTTTTCAGGGAAGAAAAGACCTTCAAGACAGGTTTGCACTTACCATTCTAGTTCCACAGCAAAGATCTATCAAAATTCTTCTGTGCAAAATGTTGTAACTGAAGATGAGTCATGACATGCGTTTTTGTTCCTCAGCACTAATATGAAGTCTTAACTGCTAGGGAAATACAATAAAAATATTTTACGTAGTAGTGAGTTTTGTAAAATAAAAAATAAAAAAATATGCAATGCGTATCTTTGGACAGAGCACTGGAGTTTGGAAAGAGGAGGCATAGTCCTTTATTTGCCTTCAGTCAATTTAAAATCATGCTCTATTGTGAAACTGCAAATTATAGTGATTAGAGAATAACCTTTGGTTCATGGGTTTTAACTTTTAACTAATGATTCTTCCCATCACAAATGGGGAAATATCCTAGATCAGGATTCTGCATTTTTTTTCACTGATCTACATTGCTACTGGTTAGTGGGAGTGAGAAAATGACAGTTGCTTGTTGATGTTTAGGCATGCCAATAGAGCTAAAATTGTGCAAAGGTGTCAAGCTCCAAATGTTTCTGTGTTAAGATATGAGTTATTACAAGACATAGTTAGGTATGAAGGACCTTTTTTAGGAAGTTGTGCTCAACTAAGAAACTGTGTCTTTCTGCACATAAGGGTAAGGCTGAGTGCATTAGACTGCCAAACCCTCGGCTATATGGATTGTATCCAACCAATTTGGGTAACATTGAGTTTAGGCTTTGACCTCGTTTTTATTGGGAGAAAGTTTTTCTTTTTGGGTGTGTGTGTGTGGGGGGAGGGGGGGGGGATAACTATATGAACCTCTTGACTCTTGCACCCTGTGATGATTGGTTTTATCATTGGGATGAAAACATAAGTTTAACTTCTTTTGATGTATGCTCTACTCCCCTACATAATCATGTATGTTAACAGTTATTTGGCGTTTGTTTTCGTTCAGGTGAGTCTTTCAGTGATCCTAACAGCTGTTGGGGTACTTATTGCAGCACTTGGAGATTTTTCCTTTGACCTTTTTGGTTACAGCATGGCATTAACTTCTGTCTTTTTTCAGGTAATATTTTCCTTAATGGACAATGCTATGTTTAGATGCATACTGTTGTGTGAGTTTCATCATTTTTGTTTGGAGGGTAATAGAATGCTATTTCTGGATGCAGACAATGTACCTAGTCTTAGTTGAGAAGTCTGGTGCAGAAGATGGACTCTCATCAGTGGAGATAATGTTCTATAACAGCTTTTTGTCACTTCCAGTTCTTGTGTTTCTTATTCTAGCTACAAAAGAGTTTCCTGATTCACTATCTTTGTTGTTTGGCAAGGTAAATACTCAATCTTGTGATCTCGTCCTTGTCTTTGAAGTCATTTTTGTAGCTAATTAAAAGCCAGATTAGTACCATGAAACTTCAATTTGTTTGGATCTGAATGTTCTTTTCAACTTTAAGCAGTCATAAGAGGGAAAAAGAGTATAATGTAAGTAGCACGTAGCAATTATCATTGAGTATATTGTGAACTTCTACACCACCAATCACTAATCTGCAAATTCCCAGACATGCTTATCGTTTTTGGTAATGGCATATATTAAAAATTTCTTTGTTTCTTGCCTTCTTGGTGATGGTATCTGTATAATGCTTTTAATCCATGAGAATGATTATATTAATACATTTTTGTACTATGAATCAGAGTTCCTCCATGTCATTTTTGGTGATCCTTGCTGCTTCTCTAATCATGGGCATTGCCCTCAACTTCACCATGTTCCTTTGTACGATAGTCAACTCTGCTCTGACGACCACTATTGTTGGAGTTCTGAAAGGTGTTGGATCAACGGTATGAATCACTTCCCTTTGTGATTATGAAAATGCAATACTTGGTTACCTTTTTCCCGGTGGGGGTGCTTGGTTGTTGCATGATCCAAGGGTAATCTATGCTTATTTGGATGGTTAAAATACTGCTGTATGCTTATATAACTTCTTTCTCTGCTGTTAGACCCTTGGATTTGTCTTGCTGGGAGGAGTAGAAATACATGCTCTGAATGTGACTGGATTGGTCATCAACACTGTAGGAGGCGTTTGGTATTCTTACGCCAAATACCAGGAGAAGAAAAATAAGCTACCTAAGACAATTCCTGATGCGGAGGCATATCGAAAATAATAGGATTATATCTTTTTTTATTTTTTATTTATTTTTTTTATTTTTTATTTTTTTTCTGCCTTCATTTGATACTATTTTGTTTGGTGATGGCATGCATCATTTATTTTCATTAATGTATACGTCCATGTGAACCTCAGCAATAGAGATATATTTGTTACACATTGCTCCGAAAGAAATATAAGATGTTGAAATCAAATGAATAAATGATTTACCTTGCGTGTTTTTAGTTTCTCTGGAAACAATATTTGGAAAAACCTCCATGTATCAATGTATGACTACTTGGATGGCAAAGATCAAGTGTGTTCCAGCATTCTCGTGCTGAATTTGAAATTTGAAGATGATTTCTATTTGAATTATACTTGTATAAAAATACTTTGTATAATTTGTTGTAAAATAATGTGTTTTCAAGACTACAAAAGTAGTTAACAATAAGATCAAAAAGTTGATCTTATAACAATGGAACAAGAATGGTGTGTCAATGATGTAAATCACTAACTTGAAAACGAAATTCCGGCGCAACCATGGTACTCAATTGTATTTGCCAGCACGTTCTCTAAGGTTAACACACCACTTGCACACAAAGGCAGTTTAGGGTGGTCAGGTTGGAGTCAATCAGTCAAGTAACTTGTGCCCAAAGATCTAGAGAATGTGTTTGGCTTATGTGTTTTCTTGTATGTGTAGCATGTATCTATATTTCTGATTACTCTCACCAAGAGATTATATAATAATCAACAAGGTAAGTGAAGTGATAAAAAAGCTCAAAAGATAAAACATTAATTAGAAATTAAGGTCCTTAAACAACCCATTAAATGAGAGTTAAGAGGAGGTTACAAAATGAAGAATCCAAGGTAAGAAGAGGAAACAAATAGGCATCAAATACGTAGCCACACAAGACTGGGCATCACATGTGCCTGATCGGACGAGGCTCTCCCAACAGGGCGAGAGAGAACAATGTTGTTTCTAGCAGCACTCGCCCAATGCGGAGGCATTGTTTTTATAAAGCTTACACTTTCCACTTTCTAAATAATTCCTACTGTTGCTTTTGCACACTCTCTCCCTAGTCCCCACATGGCCACATATAAGACACATACATTATGCTCTCGTAAAAATAAACATCTACTCATACTTCATTATGCTCCAGCATGAAGGGCTATGTATTACTCCACAGCATTTAAATACATTTCCAAAGGCTTTGGGAATTCAAGACAAATCAAGCGACGTTCGCCTGTTCAGTGTAATAAAAGGTCTCCCTATAAAAATTCTTCAGAGGACTCCATATTAAATCATGAGTAATTTTGCAAAGTTAGGAATTGAACCCCCAAAAGCCAAAACGTTCAAAAAGCAATACAGTATACATTATTGACTATCAAACTCCATTAGTCAGAGTTTGTTTGTTTATCAATCATCAAAATACCAAGAAGGTCAACATTACCCCATTGATTGAGAGTCTGATTTATTAATTACTTGTATGCTGTGTAATTTGACTTACTGTCAATTCCTTCCTGATCTAAAAGTGAGAAGTCTTACTGTAATCATGCTATGTGCAGGAGATTTCTTCAGCAAGACTTTGATAGTACCCTTGCTTTCTGTAATCATGGGGAAACAACGATGTGAGGTATATTCTCCCTGACATGATCCTTTGCTAGTTTTTAGGAGCCTTTAAAGATCTTATTCCTTCTTTGTTTTTGTTCGTCTATTTCGCTTTTATGCTTCTTAAATCTTCCCTTTTTTTTTATGTTGATTTTTTCACCCTTGGTTACACTTCTTCCTTTACAATATTGGCCTTACCTTCAGCGATGGCTGGTAAAGCAGACAGATAGTTGGATCTAGGTCTTTATATGGTAGAATTGAAATGGATTTAATTAATTGCACTAGCCTTTTCTTTTACAACAGTATGGTCATCACACCATATGTTTGGTATAGTGCTTTTGAATAAATGTGATCTCAAAGCTTGCAGATTGTGTTTTCTCTGCTCTGTAGCATCTGTCCCTCCTTAAGGAGTGAACACAAATAGCCCTATGGGACAATCCCAGTACTTGTTCGGTTTTGATTCCACGCTGTTGGCAGAGAACTTATTTCCACCTTGTCAATAAGTGTCTTGCAATGTTATGCTTCAGGAGGGATCGCTGCCAATCACGTCAAGGGACAAATATCAGCTGCTGGGAGCAGTAGCCGGCAGCCTCGCAAGCAGTTCCTAGAACCGACTAGTTTAAGTGATTCAAAAAGCACTGAAACATCTGCCAACATGTCTTTTGATGAATTTGGTGGTGTTGATTCTGCTTCTATGCCATCCACTTCAAGAATACCGGAGGTAAGGCTTCTGTTGTACCTCTGATTCTCTTTCGCTTTTATGCTTCTTAAATTTTCCGGCCTGACCCATTATCAGCTAGACTTTGCTGACATTAATTTAATCGCATTTGTTAAACTTGCAGGTATTGGATTTTCCCCGACATCCATCAGCAGCATCATCAACACTAGTAGAGTTAACAACCCGGCTTGACTTTTTCAAGGAGCGGCGATCTCAACTGATGGAGCAGCTTCACAACCTGGATTTGAATTATGGGGTGGCGAACTCCCAAGACTATTTGTACAGACCATCTTCGCCGTCATGGAGCTCACTGTCCACATGTTCACAACCTGGTGTTTATAATTTGTACATCCTTTTACTGATTGCATATACTTCTCCTGTAATTTTTTTGTGCTCTACTCAAATGATCTCTGCATTTGCTCTTTCTTTGATTTAGAGAGTTTTGTGTTCTTTAGTTTTTGGCCGTGGAATCGCAGATAAGGATAGTATCTCTTTCTTTTCTCCCCTTCAATTTCTTCTGATTCTAAAATATGTAGAATGGTAGCTTGTATTGTATGTATATCATTGTTTTGTATCAAAGTATGGAAAAATGACTCAAAAAAAGAGGGAAAAAAATAGACCTTGAGCGATGTATCTAGTATTTTAGTAAGTATTGTAGAATGGTTCTCTTACAATTTGTTGTATGCAACTCTTCATTGTGTGGTCCTCTTTATACAAAGCTTTTGGAAATGTTGCAGTTTATTACAGAGTACTCGGGAGCAGGGGCAGATCTAGTAGGGGTTCACCCCCTGATTTTTTTAAAAAAATTGAAAAGTTTTTTTTTTAAAAAAAAAACAAAAAAACGAAATAGGGTTAAATAGAATATATGTTATTCAAATCAATATCAAATTATCAATGAATATACCATTAATTCTTGATAATGTATGTTTGTTGTGGGAATTTGAGATATAATGAATTAATGATATATAATGTAAAATTGTAGATTGTGCCATTGTGGAGTATATACCATGAGTTTAGAGTCCTTTTGGAACTTATGTATTGAATATTTAATTATTATTTTTTTCTATTTGTATTATGTATTTTATTTGCAATCCATGATTGAAACTTATGTACTGAATATTTAATTATTATATTTTCATTCCATTGTTAATTACGATTCTAGACTTTCGAAATTTCGAACCCCCTATTTAGAAATCCTGAAGACGCCACTGCTCGGGAGTAGTATGCTATAATTCTGTTTATAATTATGTCCGTGTATCTTTTATCTTTGTAATCAAAGTAATTTGAAGTATAGAAGTACTTGTCAATCTTTGGTACTGTAGTTTGATCGCCTTGTGCGAACTCTGGTTAGCATGAATTTATTTGTTCTTGGCTAAATAAAAGCTTGTATTCTCATTTTTATGATAATAATTAGGGGTGAGCAAAAACTCTAGGTACCCGGAATTAGAACCGGAACTGGTTAAGAATCGGCGGGTTCGGAATCAAAATTGGACCCGGTGGTTCCAATTTCGGGCAATAAACTAAGGATCCGGTTACAACCGGTTTCAATTTCAATTTTCAACTTTTTGGAACCGGAACCGGTTGGGTACCCGATATACTAAATAAATTTTAAATAATAAAATGTGTTGAATGTATCTAGTTAGTATAATGAAAAAGTATTATTAATACCTAACATAAATACACTTAATGTATAAATAAATATAAGAATTAAACGCTAAAAATGAAAATAGACCAAAATAAGTATTATAATTTGTATTATATTTTAACAATTACATACATAAGTGGGTACCTGGAACCAGTACCCAGTGGTTCCAATTCCAATTCTTAAATTTTAGGACCCACTTGAACCAATTCCAATTTCGGTTCCGAATTTTAGGACTCGATCCCAACCAATTTCAAGTTCGGTTCCTAATATTTTGACCGGGTACTCGGTTTGCTCACCCTAATAATAATTGCTTTAATAAGCAACATTTTTAAATGAGCCTCTTATTCTCACAACCTAATTGAAATTAAATCTTCAAACAATCATCTAATTTGCCTCTTCAATGATGCATCAATAATAAGCATCTACGGAGATTGCAACTAAATGTGCGTTACAAGCCTACATAAATACATTCCATCCAAACACAATCTATAAATATCCGAAACCCAAAGCTTACCATGTGTACAATACTACTGTACATGGTACAACCAAGAATATCATCTCAAATTCATACGAGAATCAATAACTATATACTAAAAGACACACCAGCAATGACACGTGTCATTTTTTGGTGTGTCTCTTATTTTACTTTTTTTTTTAAATAATCTTTAGAAACAAATCTTATACATAAATAAAAAGATAGCAAAATAAACATAAATAAAATATTTGACAAATCTTATACATAAATGAAAAAGATTGCAAAATAATACATAAATAAAAGATTTGATATATCTTTCCATAATATATTCATTGACAACTATATATATATATATATATATATTTTTTTTTTTTTTTTGAGAAAAATATAAAATTAGGTAAAAAGAAATAAATATTAAATCAGATTTTTAACATAATTGTGCTAGAATGTTATGTACTACCTATTATTTTTTTTATTTAATTATGTGTTAAAAACCTCTAAGAAAGTAATTTGAATTTCAAATATAAAAAAAGTAGTTAATATAAAAGATTTGATGTATCCTTCTACAAATAAATATTAACAAGTAACAACTATAAATTTAAGGGAAAAAAAAATAGGTTCTTTACATAATTTGTGACATACATATGGACTGCAGAGTGCAATGTACAACGTTTTTAAGAAATTCATTTGGTTAACAACAAGAAAACTATACCAATTTGTTGATGAAAAATGTATGAACAACTGATCAAAAAAAAAAAAAGTATGAACAACACATATTCTCAAATGCATTTTAAAAATAGCTATCTAGCTAATAAACTCTTTTATAATAACTAAATGCATTATAGGCTCTTTTATAATAAATTCATTACTCTGTATAATATTTTAGAAAATTCATTATTAATGTTAAATATAGTTATTAAGAATTACTGTGCATGACACGGGACCTAACCTAGTTTGTGTAACTACATTAACCCCTTAAATACTCCGTACTCGATAATGCAATACATATATACAGTCAATACGGAGTACAATATTACAAAAATGAAGTGGTACAAAATGTTAAGCAACATAAAAACAAACCGCAATGCCCAATAAAAAGGGCGGGGCGGATGATCTTCAAATTCAATTTGTAATTGGAAAATTGAAGATTGAATGAAATCGAATATCCACCATTTAATCCTTTGAAAACAAAATTCCCATATTTACTTCTTGTCTTCTTCTTCCTTTGATTGTCGCTTTCTCTCCTCTCGAACATTCTCGCTGATTCTGGTTGCTCTTTTGATTACGATTTCTATGATAATTTTGAGTACCCAATTGCCCATGTAAGTCTCTTCCATTTATATATTTTGAGTTACGTGATTTCGCGTATTTTTAATGTTAATTTTGCTGTAAATTTCCTGGGATTTATTGAATGAATGCTTTTGAAATTTGGGGTTTACATCCCTTCTAGGATTTGAATTATGTGTCTTGTTGAATAGGTAATTCAAGAGAAATATAAGAGGATTAATTGGTTTTTTTTTTCCAATCCATTTTTTCAATAACCCATTAGTTGATTTTTAGAAATTAGGTGAGAATTGATGAATAATTGAAGTGGGTTTCTTTATGTGAGGTTTTTGGGTTTTTGAAGATGATGAATTTATTGAATTTATAAACTATCCATTTGTATGCATGTTAGCTCTCTGGAATTTTAGATGTAAATTAAGAGATTTTTGGCAAAATTTTCATTGATGTTTCTCTTAAGAAGTTAAGAGTAGAAGATGAGTATTTAAGTGTATCTTTCTTGCCATGCTTTATGAAAGTCCATAGTTTGAGGTATATTCTCATGAATTTTGTATAATTTTGGTATAATTTGAAGAGGTTTAAGAGGTTATTTGTCATGTTCACAAGTAATTTTCGACATTTTGAATATGGTCTAATTTGGTGTGATCGAGTGTAGTATGACTTAGCTGAATGTTTAAGGTTAACACTTAACATACAGCAAGACAAATAATATGGTGTGAATGAAGATTCTGATGTAGAAGTGGACCGTGTTTAGAAGAGTGTGGGTGAATACAAGGTTTTATTGACAGTATTATCATTTGATGTCGTCGAATTTCGTGATAATCGAAGAGTTGTTACAGGTTGTCGGAATGGCATGTTGAATCGCTGGTATTCCGGTGGTGGTATTCCGGCGCCGGCGGATAGTCGTCGGGAAATCGCCGACATAGTTCACTTTTTTTTTTTTTGGGAATTGAAGAAAAATGAGGAGAAGTGTAGATATTTATAGAGAAAAAAAAATGAAAAAGAAAAAGTGGGAATTTAATTTAATGGATAAAAACAAAAGAGATCGAAAACACTTTAATTGAGAATATATTAATTGATTGGGAAAGAGAGGAGAAAAATGAATTGAGATGTTTGGCGGCTTTCTAATTTATACATTTGATGAATATGATGATGACGTAATGAGTGATTTATTTGGGGAATCTATTTGTTCACTTATTAATCTTTGCTACTTAAATTTAGTGAAAATTGATCCAAAATCTTAAACTTATTATACTTGTAAATTATTATGTAATTACTACATCGTTGGAATTAGATCAGATAAAAAAAAAATTAAAACCATATATCAGATTGGATTGAAAGTCGAACTTTTGTATGGAGTAACTTTTTTTACTAAAATGAACTTGTTTAATTGAAGTGATGATCTAAACTCATCTGAATGTATTAGATTAGTTGTAAATTGAATTTTTGGGTGATTAAAATCAAATTTTGGGTAATTAAAATTGAACCCTAAATTTATAAGATTTAAGGTATATGTTTTACTAAATGAGTTATTTATCCATTTTCGGTGGATAAAAAATCGGCCCATAAGTATAAAGTCACGTGCCTAAAACCGCAAAATAGTGTCTGGATTGTTGTGTCAAAGTGAGGTTTTAGGTCTTTTCAGGTATTTAACACCAAATAATTCCCCCTATATCTTCTTTTACTACGATTAACTTCCATATTAGGATATATCCGGTGTATTAACATGGGTACATAAGTATTTTGTAAAAAAAACCATTGCACTTTCTTTTTCCAAAAAAAAAAACTGAAGTAATTAATTAATAAATAAATTGGCAGTTAGTTATTTCCATCTCCTTCCTTTCCTCCCATCATTCACCAATGTATGTTTACTTCAGAATTACTAACACTTAAGTTTTACTTTCTTTTCTTTTTTTGTAATTCATTGATTGTGTTTGTTTAGTTCATGATTTTGTTTATTGCTTAATACTAAATTTCATTACTATATTGCTTATTTTAATTGTTTTGCAGATGATTGCTAATACTAATTACCTTGATTTTGTTGAAAATTGCAGGAGAAACTGAATGTATATTAAAAACACTTGAAAATCTACTTAAGTTTTGGAAAATTTTGGTGTATGGTATAACAATGCAAAGGGTTTGTAAGGTTATGTTGTTAACGTTGCTTTTGTTTAATATTTTTCCACTTTTTGTAAGTAATCGCGGTGATGGAGGAAGATTTGGATATGGATTTGTATATGGAGAGGCAATTCAGATACTTTCGAAATCGAAACTCGAAAAATGTGAAAAGACTTCTCCTACAGAAGCAAATGGTTCTAATGATAATGGTAATCTTAATTGTACTCGCAAGATCATCATTAACATGGTTGTTCCTAGCAACTCTGTAAGTTGGTTGTTTCAGTTGTTGACTTGTTGTCGTGTTTATTTCCTACATTTACTAGTTGATATTATAGGTCTTGTTGAAACATAATAATGGTTTTTTAGAGTGGAGGAGAAGCGTCAATGGTGGCAGAGGTTGCAGAGGTGGAGGAAAACTCGACGAATAAGATGCAGACTTTGCGATTGCCCCCTGTGATTACTGTCAACAAATCTGTTGCTTATGCCGTGTTTGATCTTACTTATATACGAGTATGGATAACTAGTATTTGACTTTTCTTTGTTTTGTTTTAAGGAAATTGATATGACATTGTTATTGTCATAATCTTGATGTTCGGAAATAACATGTGTCATTGCTGATGTGTGTTTTGGCATGGAGTGTAGTCTATGTTTACAATGGCCTAACATTATTTGTGTTGAAACTTTAAGTAACTTTCTTGTATAATTAGGAATGTTAAGTTTGTTTCTTGTGTTTTTCTGTTGAAAAATTTGATGGTAATTGACATGTTTCAGCATTAAATTTTCAGGATGTCCCATATAAACCCCAAGAGTATTATGTCAAGACACGAAAGTGTGAGCCGGATGCTGATGCTCATGTTGTGAAGATTTGTGAGAGGCAATTTCTCTCCCTCTTTTGTCCCCGTACTTACTCTGGGGGTGTTTGCCCTTAATCCCATAATTCGAGCTTTGATTATGTAGTGGCTTGTAGATATATATTTTTATGTATTTGTTTCCTTAGGTAAATTTATGAAATACAAATATATGCAGCTGCTTAGTCTATGTGAGTTTGATGACTCCTTCATTTTGTCATTCGATTTATAGGTTGAAGGATGATCAAGGTCACGTTATTGAAGCCTCTCAGGTATAGTTATTTGTTGATCTTGAACGCTCCAATGTGTAAATTTATATACAATTTTCAAATTTGTAATCAAATTATTGTCCTGGTTTTAATTGTATCTTAATGCCCAACACCAGCCGGTTTGCTGTCCTTGTGGTGATAGACGACGAGTACCTTCTTCATGTGGAAACTTTTGTAAGCTTCCTAAACTAATCAAACAAATTCAGTATTCGTGTCCATAGGGGTTGTTGACTCTAAATTTTTGTGTTATTATTTGTGTTGTTTATCAGTTGACAAGCTGGTAAAGGGGAAAGCGAATACTGCACATTGTCTACGATTTCCTGGTGATTGGTAAGCCAACTGACTCCTTGTCGCCTGCTGATGAGCCTGAATTGCTTCAAGATCAAGTTTTTCTATTTTCTATAATCTTATAGTCTTGGATTTATGTGCTAAAAAGAGTGATCTAGTTGTACTTTTCTTTTTTTTGAGCCTAATCAATTAGCTGGATAACATGATGAACTTTTTAATGTTTTTAGGTTCCATGTATTTGGCATTGGACAGAGAATTATAGGATTTAGTGTTCGGATTGAAGTCAAGACTGGATCTAAAGTATCAGTAAGTCACATCATAACAAGTTTGTGTTATGTGAATGTGTTGATTTTTTTCTCCTCCTTATTGGTAATCATATGTCCTATATGTTGGATTCTTGACTCATCTTCAGGAAGTGATCGTTGGTCCTGATAACCGAACAGCTTTGTCCAGTGACAGCTTTCTCAGAGTGAATCTTGTTGGTGATTTTGGTGGTTACACTAATATTCCATCATTTGAGGAATTCTACCTAGTGATACCGAGGGTGGTATGTTGCTTGCCATTGTGCAACCTTAGTTTTGGCTATGCTGCCAATGAATTTGGACCGACTCAGAGTGCCAACCTTATTTTTTTATTTTTTGTGGTGTCTGAAGCATGGACCAGGCCAGCCTCCAGACCTAGGACGTAATTTTTCTATGTATATGCTACTTGAGAGAGTGAGATTCACATTGGATGGCCTTGAATGCAATAAAATTGGAGTCGGTTATGAGGCTTTTAACGGTCAACCAGATTTCTGCACCTCCCCGTACTGGAGCTGTTTGCACAACCAGCTGTGGAATTTTTATGAAGTTAGTACCTATAGCTGAGAAATAGAATTAACTGTAATACTGTTTTTTCATCTTATGTCCTTTATTCCCGAGTTTTTCCGATTTGATTGAGTTAATATAGGCAATATGTTTGCACAAAGCTGTTTTGTTTTTTGTTTTTTTGTTTTTGTTTTTTTTTTTTTTCCCCATTTTGTGCTCCTCTATCTATACTCTTCTCTATATTTTGGCATGTTTTAACTCAAAATTGTCTGGTGGGACTGAAAGCGTTCTGACTAATTGTTTCCAGGCTGACCAGAATCGAATTGCTAGGCATCAACCACCTTTGTATGGTGTGGTAGGAAGGTTTGAAAGGATAAATGAGCACCCGGTTAAGTTTACAGATTTTGCATTACATTATTCACCTATAAAAATATTGTCAGTCTGTCATTAACTGAAAAGGCATACAGGGTGCAGGGCCTCGTACGTTTTCCTTTGGGATTTCTGAAGCTATCAACACTAATCTTGTGATAGAATTAGCAGCTGATGACATAGAATATGTTTATCAGAGGTTAGTATATGTTTTTACTAAATATGCTTGCTACATTTGAAAGTTTGTTCTGATGTCTTATGCTGCTATATTCTGATATGATAATTTTCTACTGCAATGTTCTAAAGTTTATTTCTTATGTAATTGTAGGAGCCCTGGGAAGATTTTAGGTGTTACTGTCCCTACATTTGAAGCACTTGCGCAATATGGGACTGCAGATATAAAAACAAAGAACACCGGGAAAGTGGAAGCATCATACAGCTTGACGGTATGCCAATGATGCTATAATTTGTGTTCCCAAATTTTCCTCTTTGGATTCTCATACTTCATTAGACAGTTTGTAAATTAATTTTTGTACATTTTATACAGTTTAAATGCTCAAAAGGTGTGACAATGATGGAGGTACTTGATTCGAAATCTTCATTGTGATTATTGATCTTACATTTTCATGACTACCCTGAGTTCCAGAATTTGATGTTCACAAACATATGATTGCAGGAACAATTTTTTATCATGAAGCCTGAAGAGGTTGGTAATCGATCATTCAAAATCTATCTAACTTCTGATCAAGCTTCAAAATATGCATGTTCTGGTACAGATTTTTTTTTTGCTGATTTAAATTGGCTTTGCTTTTAAGTTTTTGCTGTTTTTTGATTTAGATTTGTAGTACATATGATTTCAGATAAATGTTTCCCTGAATGCAGCAATTTTAAAAGATTCGGAATTTAATGAAGTCGATAGAGCTGAATGCCAGTTCACCACCACAGCCACTGTGCTTGACAATGGAACACAGGTAAATGTTTCCACACTGCACTTTAAGAGGATGACTTTAGAATACCAATTTTATGTACTCACACTTACGTTTACACATTATAGACCGTTTGTGTCTGCATTATAACTGATGCAACATAATATACTACAGGGAGCCCCCTTTCAGCCACCAAAGTCTGAGACAGCAAGCTTATTTGGAATTATCAAAGACTTATGGAACAAGTTTTGGGCTGGTTTATTAGACTTCATCACAGGAGAGAATTGCAGGTATTTGTATGGAGTCCATTAAATTTTTGCTGATTTTGCATAATTTTGTAGTAGTTGTTTGTTGTTTCGTTTCCTATGTTAAAAAAGAGTAACCAAACTGAATACACTTCACTACATGAAAATGTTGATACTAGTAGTTTTTGTTAGAAAGCCAAGAAAATGCCTAAAAATAATATTGGAGGTTCTCTATGAGTTAAAACTTCAGATTCTAAAGCTTCGGCATAGACTGATTAACATTAAACAAAAATAATATCATCAGAAAGTATACAAAGCAAGCCTAAAAGTCCTTATAAGAGACTCCTGTGAGTTTAAACTTCAGACTAAATTGTATCAGCATTCTTGAGCTGTGCACACCTTCGAACTATGAGGGTCGAAAAATGTTGACAGTTCTGCCAACTTCAACTACTGTAACGCATGTCTGTAGACTTCACCTGCTAAACTTTATCTCAGAACATATAATTAATGTGATGGCTTCATTTTATGAACTAAATAAAGTAGCAGTAGGCAAAAGTGTTGGATTCTGCTTTCTCATGTCTTGTTCTAATGAATATAACCATTACATTGTTGTTCTGAATAGAAGCAAGTGTTCTGGGTTCTTCGACTTCCTTTGTCACATTCAATATGTGTGCATGAGTTGGGTCATCATGTTTGGATTATTTTTGTCCATCTTTCCCACAGGTAACCAAATTATTTTTTTTCTGCATCATTTATTCAGCATTTGAATGCAATAACAATTAACCTTGATTGCAACTTTTTCTGTTGACATTTAGCGCTTGTGCTTCTATGGCTTTTACATCAAAAAGGACTGTTTGATCCTCTCTACGACTGGTGGGAAGATCATTGCTGGGAAGGTACGCCGAGGCACAAGAAAATTCCGAGGCATAGAATTCAGCATGACCATCACCGAATTCATCACAAGAGACACCGACCTCACCATCACCGAGCACATCATCATCACAACGTGCATGAAGTAAAGCATAGGAACTGGAAGAATAACAATGAACAAGATCATCACCATGCAGCACATCGATCAAGCGATTATAATCAGTATTTGCATCATGTCCATAAAGACAAGCACAAACACGGCAAGCATCGAAGTAGCACTGGTGCAATTCAGCATTTGGATAATCAGGTTGATTTGATTCGGCATCACAGGCATAGGAAAGGAAGGAGAGCCAACGAAAGGACATCTGATTTTCAAATATATGACAAGGAAGATATTCATGAGCCTTATGAAAATGAACCTTCTTTTCTTTGATGATGAGAACATTTGCATAATTGTATCAAGAGAAGTATACATAAAGCAAAAAACATGAATGAAGGTTCTGATGAAATTCCCTTCAGCGCAAGCAAAACTCCAAATTTCTATCTATGTGAAATGAGAGTCTCAATTGTATTATCAAACTTACACACTGGTGGGATTACAACAGTCTCAATTGTTTGGAATATACAAAGTGCTTTTTAAGCTTAAATTTTCTCATTTAAAACATAGATACAAAATTTTCCAGTTGAGGTTTCATCCAATCAAAAAAACTTTTTCTTCTTTTTTTTTCTTAAGAAGATAAATACTCACTGTCCCAAAGACTCAAAAATCTCCTCTCTCTCTAAAAGAACTAAGGTTGGTAAACTTGCCTTACTAATCCAAATCACTCTCTGTTTTCCAGTCTTGGTCTTCAAAGAGGTCTTCAGGAGGGTCGTAGACAGAGTATCCAGGAAATAGCTCTCCAAAGTGCTTTGATCTTCTCCCTCAATTCAGGATATGGAATAAGCCCTTTCAGAATGACTCGAAAAGGAAGTGAAAGAGGGGGATCGGGGGATTGCCTCATTTCAGCATACATTTCCATTGCCTCATCTGGCAGTTCATTGTCCAAAAAGGCCCTCATAATGTCACCGAATGTGTGCTGATCAAATAGGACTTCTTCCCTCTTCAAGTCTTCCCAAACCCGCTTTGCTTCATCTACCTTTTTGTTCCTTGCAAGCATCATGAGCATGTCCCTGTAGAAGAACATGTCTGGATGGTACCATATCTCTTTCCGCACCACATCATACAACTGTGACAGGTAAAACCAGAAATTAAAATCAGCAACAGTTCTACCATACCTATTTCACATTTCTAATAAAAGAAGCATGAATTGCTGAACTCTTACACCAGGTCATTTTGTTTATTTTTAAATCATAGATCAAGCAAGTATAGAGAATATATCAGGCTGAAAATCTGAAAACCAGTACTTAGTTGTCGGTATACCTGATTACGGATAAATCATAATGAGAAACCTTACAAGTCATAACCATTACACCTGAAATCTGACAGCAGCTTGCAGGAGTGGCTATAGCAAATGGCCAGGCTCCGCTCCCCTGGTCAGTAGGTAATTGGGCACTAACGCACTATCCTAGCCAGACAGCCTTGGAGCAAGCTCTTGCACAGGCACCAAGTGCTGCCCTTCTGATGGGTCATAATGGCATATTTCGAAATGACACAAGTGATGCGATTGATGGATCATTTAATCAATGTGTGTATTTGTTATTTCTGTTTAGTGTAATTGGAAAATCAATATGTTTTCTGTGTTTCTTCCTATTTATTTTGAGGTATTTCCTTCAAGAGGGGAGTTATCCTTTTTTAAAATGATTGATGGATCATTTGATCTATGGATCCTTTCAATTTTTTCCAGGGAGGGACAAGCGCCCAGTTAAGTCTTTGGTCGTTGGACAGCCAATCCTGCTTGCTTTGGAGGATATAGATGGTGGACCCTCTTTTTTGGAGAAGCTCTTCGATTTCTTGAAACTTATGGTGAGTATTATATATATATATATATAAAGGACTGGTCATTCCTTTCGGGAAATTTAATGGCACTTTTTTGTGAGTGAATGAGGCTTTGTCTGATTTTGTTAACATTGCATTTTCATTCCCCATCATCTTCCAAATTCCAGTTCTTTTCTATTTTTAAATTCTTCTTCATAATATGAACAGTGTTGCAACATGTTCTAGTTCAATGTGATTGCTTTTGTTTGTTGAAGGCACATCTTATCATTTGGTTGTAATATTAATGGAATGTATTTGTAGTTGTGTCGTGGTGAAGGCTTTATCTCAAGGTGTCCTATTTTGTGGCAGGGAATAAAGTGGAAGGAATTTTACGACAGTCTGCAGATGTTGAAGAGGTGGAGCGCAGAGTCCAGGATTATGAACAAGGTCCATTTTTGGTTTATTTTATCTTTCTTTTTGTTGACTACAAAAGTAGTTAACAATAAGATCAAAAAGTTGATCTTATAACAATGGAACAAGAATGGTGTGTCAATGATGTAAATCACTAACTTGAAAACGAAATTCCGGCGCAACCATGGTACTCAATTGTATTTGCCAGCACGTTCTCTAAGATTAATACACCACTTTCACACAAAGGCACTTTAGGGTGGTCAGGTTGGAGTCAATCAGTCAAGTAACTTATGCCCAAAGATAGAGAGAATGTGTTTGGCTTATGTGTTTTCTTGTATGTGTAGCATGTATATATATTTTTTATTATTCTTACCAAGAGATTATATAAAAATCAACAAGGTAAGTGAAGAGATAAAAAAGCTCAAAAGATAAAACATTAATCAGAAATTAAGGTCCTTAAACAACCCATTAAATGGGAGTTAAGAGGAGGTTACAAAATGAAGAATCCAAGGTAAGAAGAGGAAACAAATAGGCATCAAATACGTAGCCACACAAGACTGGGCATCACACATGCCTGATCGGACGAGGCTCTCCCGACAAGGCGAAAGAGAACAATGTTGTTTCTAGCAGCACTCGCCCGATCAGATGAGCTTCCAGCTCGCAATCCATCTTTCTCTCACGCATGATCGGCACAGCTAGCTCGATCAGGCTTATGGCTATAGTCGACTTTGCATTTCTTTCCTTGATTCCAACATAATTTAGAACTTGTGAAAGTGAGGACATCATAATACTATTATGCTGATGAATTGAGATGGTCGTAACTTTACAAAAATATTTGTTAGGGTAATTATAAATTAAAAAAAAAAAAAAAAAAGTCCGGGTATTTGGGGTGAAACGATCAGAAATTTCGAGGTTAGTGTAAATTTTTATCGAAAAAATTGGACGTTTCTACCCAAAAATGCTATTATCTAATTCGTTAGTGTAATTATAAATCTAGCATTAAGTAATTAACTTCTGTACTGGGTAGGTATTTTAAAGCCAAGTCATAAGACCATATCTTCCTCACAAAGTCACAAGTAGGGGTGTTCAAACACGGGTACCCGGGTATTTGAGTACCCGCTTTTCGGGTCAGTGAAAATTCGGCCCATGACCTGACCCGGTAAGCTCATGTACCCCCTTCGTGCTGGAGTTATGACATTAATAATGCAAATCAGAGGAAGTTATTATCGAGCTACCTAAAGTGCTATCGTACTCTTGGTGACGGCACACGAAAACAAGGCTGAGTTATAGCTCGTAAGCGAGCGAGCGATAGTTTGATTGCACACGAGGTTGCGACAAGGCCGAGCTATAGCGAGCGAGCGATAACTTGGGCCGACCCCACCCTAATCCCTTTCCCCCACCTACGCAACCACCCCCCCTCCCTTTTCTCCTTATTGCTACCCTGACCCCCACCGCGAACCGGAAACCACCCCTCTCCCCATTCGCCCCACCGGAATCGGCCCCCCTCCCCATTCCCCCACCGAAATTGACACCCCCTCCCCTTCCCCCACCCAAAAACCGGCACCTCTAACCTTAAACCACCAGCTCGAAACTACCCTAAACGGGTTTTAGGGTTTCGCTTATGGTATTTTAGGGGTGGTGGTTTAGGGTTAGGGGTGACCGAAAAGGGTAGGGGAAGGGGGGACGATTTTGGTGGTGGAATGGGGAGGGGGGGCGATTCCGACGGGGCGAATGGGGAGGGGGTGGTTTCTGGTTCGGGGTGGGGTTCGGGGCAGCAAGAAGGGGAAAAAGGAGGGGGGTGGGCTACGTTGGTGGGGGAAAGGCAGTGAGGTAGGGTCGTCGGCGTCGACTAAAGCATTAGGCGCCGGTCACCGGCAGGGGGGGATTGAGGCTGGCTGACGGGAGGGGTGGTGGGCTGCGTAGGTGGAGGAAATGGAGGGGTGGCTGGGTTTTTCTTTTTTTAAAAAAACATTTTAATTTATTTTTTTAATAAACTTAACGGAACCCTAACGGATTCCGTTAAGTGGTAGTGAAATTTAACAAATGTGATTTTAGGTAGTAGTAAAATAAAAAAAAAATGTTAAAGGGATAGCATAAGTGAGGTGCATGTGTTTCGGTGGTAGCAAAGTGAAATTGCCCTTTATTTTTATACTTTTAAAGTTTTTATGTGACAAAAATAAAAATAAATTGAGAATTAAAGATTTAAATTTGATAGCATAAGTAGAAGGTAGAAAGAGAAAGATCCATGTGTAATAATGGTATGCTCAAGGTCAGGGGATCAAGGGCTGGTGGAGAGAAAAAGAAAGAGAAAATGCAATAATAACAATAATAATTTATTGGACAATTTAAGTAGAGCCGTGTTTGTCAGAAGGGTCACAAGGCTAGTGAAGTCATTGATAATTTTTTGCCATAATAATCCTATAATAGAGAAAAACCTTAGCAATAATATCCGGTATTTTTTTTATTTTTACAAACACAAATTGATCATGAAATATTTTTATAAGAAAAATAACATGGAGTTTATAAAAAATAGTTTCATAAGTATAAGATGCCAACAGTAGGTATATAGCAACATCAGAAGGTGTAGTCATAATAACAATCTTATATACTCCCTCTATTTAGAAATCTTGAACTAGCTTACCTTGTATACTCTTGCTTCTATAATTAAAGAGGGAAGTTGAATGTTTAGAGGAAAAAAAAAAAACAAAAAAAGTACAAGAGACGGGATATAAAAAAGGGTGTGAACGTAAAAATAAAAAAAAAAAATAAAAAAAAATGACTTTATACCCTAAGAATGATGGTTGCTTGAAATAAAAATTATTACACTACAAATTCTGACCACTATATTAGTGTGATTTGCTCACTTTTTTAATTTGTAATAATAATTGAATATACTGTATAATGTGTTGGATAAATCTAACATGTTTCAAGATTTACTCCGTAATATACTACGAAGTACATTTATTTATCTCAATAAAACTACTTGTGCAAAAAATATAGGGACCTCACCCTGAACATTGGCCATATTAGTCACCTGCAAGTTCAATATTTTTTCTTCTAAAATTAGTAACAATTATGTCATAGTAGTAGTAGTTGATTCCAGTGATAGCCAATGCCGTCACCCATATTATTTTATTTTTTTGCTTTTACTAATCTTGTTTTAGTAGGTTTTTTCACTGTGGCAATAAAATGCATAAATAGAAGTTACAGTAAAAAGAGAAAATGCATGTGAGTGTGAAGTACTACGTTAAAAAAATTATAAAAATAAATAAAAGTTACAGAGCCATGTTGTCAGAAGGGTTACAAGGCTAAGGGTAAGTTTATAACAAGTCTTGAGCAAAGTTTCAACATGAATCTTGCTCAAGATTCTTGCAATAAACTCCCTCAAGAGTCAAGACTCATGTGAGTCTTGTATGGAGTTTGGAAAATCCAAATTCATGTCAAGACTTTGCAAGGGAACAAATGTTGTCATATTTTGGTTGGTTGTTAATGAAAATTGGTCACCTCATCAACCAAAAGTTTACAATAATTTTTTAAAAATAATTAAAGATTCTTTACAAAAAAAATATATATTTTTTTAAGAGGATTAAGTGAGTTTGAAGTGAGTCTTGAGATAATGTGTAAATTTAGAGAAAGTTTTGTATGAAATTGAATAATAAAAAAGTATTTTAAAATTAGTGGATAGCTGAAGTAACAGAGTATGAAGTTTGGGTTCGAGTTTGGGGATAAACTCACCCTAAGTCTGACCATGATAGAGAAATTCACAAATTTATACAGAGTATCATGAAATGTTTTTTTAAAAATAATATTCGTGTCCAAAATGGTTGGACCATGTAGGCTTTTCGGGTTATTTTTGGGCCGGACTAAAAAATCAACTAAATTTGCGTAAAAATGCTTTCCCAAGTTTGCCCTTTTTTTTTTTTTTTTTTTTTTGAAAAATCAAGCCGGAGTGGGCCCAACCTAATTTCGGGCCAGAAAAGGCTGCCAAAACCCACCCAAAATCGGGTCGAGCTGCATATGATCAGCTCTACATAGTAGTCACTTGCAAGGTTGCAAGTTCAATAGATTTTTTTCTTAGTAACAATTATTTCATAGAAGTAGTAGTTGATTCCACTGATAGCCAATGTTGTCATCCTTTTTTTTTTTTTAATATACTGTGGCAAGTAAATGCATAAATAGAAGTTAAATCGAGAAAGATGCATGTAAGAGCACTACCAATGGTGAGCTAAAAACTTGCTCATGGGCATTTTGGGTGGGCATAAAATTTGCTCATGCATTACAATGGTGAGCAAATGAGAAAAAGCCAAAAAATGCTCATGAGCATCTCTGAAAATGCCCAAGACTTGAGCATTTTTGAAGATGAATAGTGCTTTGGTGGGCTCCACAATTTGCAATGGCTATATTTTTTGTAATGCAAATTCTGAAATAAATATTTATTAAAAAAAAATTAAAATTACCAACGGTCATAAAATTTAATTCTCTATAAATAAACATGCATTTTGGTATATTTTGGTATAATTTCAGAAATACCATAAATCCTCCATATTCTTTATTTTAACGATAAAAACGACACAAATAAAAAAAAAATAAGTTACACAAATTTAGACTAGTTGTTATTTATTTGGAGTAATATTGTTAAAATATAAATGAAATTAATAAATAAAGAAGTGTTGTGTAGGAGAGAGAAAGTAATGGTGGGGTATTGAAAAAGTAAGAGAAAGAGAGTAGTGGGCAAGCATTTTTTTTGTTCACCATTGGGAGAAAAATTGTGAAAAAAATTTACCCTAAGCAAAACAAATTTGTTGAGAGAGAAAGTGGGTAGAGAGATAGTGGGTGGACATTTTTTTTGCTCACCATTGAAAGTGGTCTAAGTGTCAAGAAAACAAAAAAATTACAGAGAGATAGATAAACAAAAATCAAAATTCACCAAAAATTCGCAAGTCCCCCAAACAATAGTTTGTACATATAAATTTTATTTTAAAAAATTACTGGAATAAGTATATGAGATATAAGTGTAAAGTTGGTCAAATTTAGCAATAAAAATCTCTATAAATTGAGGCAAAAAATCAGTTTAAATTCACACAATTAAAAAGCAAATTATTAGAGGAAAAAAAACAAAAGTTATGGCACCACCAAAACCAGAAGATTTTGATTTCAACAACCACAAGTGCCCACCAGGCTGTTTTTTTTTTTTTTTGACAATAGCAAAACTAAGCAGATAAAACTACGGAACCGATAGATTGGTTCGGTATTGTCTAGCTATCTCATTTGCTCTTTGAGTCTTTGTACCTGTTCTCTGGGAACCAGGCTGTTTAGACAAGTGGAAAGCACTGATGTCATCAAACAAAGAAAAACCCAAGGGTGAGTCCTCCAACAAGGAGAAGGAGAAAAATGAGAAAGGAAATGAAAAAAAGTAGGAAGTAATTAAAATGACAGTAATGAAGTAGTAGTATCATAGTATGTAATGGAGTAGTACTCCGTAGTATTTTAGTTAATGTTTGAGAATAAATTATGTTAGTAGTTAATGTTAATGAAGGAGTGCCTTCGGTTTAGTTTCGTATTTATAGTTTATGTTTGATAAAACATAAATTATAGATTTATGTCAGTTGTGGGTATGTGTGTTGTATGGAGAAATGATACTATGCTGTACGACTAAGCTGTCTAATTAAAAAGCATTTGAGCTTATTAGTATTACGTAACACTGAGTTGGATATCAAAGTGATAAAGGGCCCACTGCAATATCTTTTAAGAAAATGTTTTGTTTTAGTAAATTCGACCAAAACAAGTACTCTACTGCCAAACAATATAAGAAAAACTAATCTACTGTACGGTAATTAAAACATTGTTAAGATAATTTATTAATATAATTAACCGAGGCTAAGAATTCAGAGTGATTTAGCCTTATCCATTGACAGGGGCTAAGAATACATAAACCGGGGCTAAGAAGTGAGGGTGAATTAGCCACTACTTAAACTAAAAAGAAAGATTACGCTGACCCATAGCATGTAGCGCTTGCATAAGAGGTGCGTAATAGGCTGGGTTAGTGAGCATGCAATTGGCCAAATCCTTTTCTATTCATGGCACTTTTGGAAATCTTCCTCCGCTTTTAAACCTTAGAATAGGGATTCACTTCCTTCTTGCAACCCCCTGCTTTAAAGAAATAACAAAGCCCGCAGTCCGATCCGTCGTCGTCGAACAGGTCTTCTTCACTCAGTTTCATATTCAGCAGCGCATCAAAATTACCTCCTTTTTTCTTTCGGATCTTCCTGCTTCTGCTGCTTTTCATCTTCTACTGCCTTGTACGTGAGGTATGCTTGTTCTGCTTAACATATCACATCTTATGTCGATATATAGCATAGCTTGCATTCCTAACATCTTCGCAGTCCACACTTTATCTGATACCATGACTTAGGTCCCTAAGCAACATAAGAGCAATCAAAATCCCTCTGTTTCAGATTAAGCATGAATTGGGTAACTTCACCTGATCATGACTGACTCCTTGTTTCATCCTTCACAGCTGCCAAAATCTTTGTTCCGAAAGAGGTGAGACACCACAAGTGGCACCAGCTGCAGATTCTGTCTCATTGAAATTTGAAGGGAGGAGAGAAGCAAAGGGATGAAAGATTGAAATCATGCTAAAAAAAAATCCAGATTTATTTGTTTGATTCATGCCCGTACAAATTCCAGTACAATTGTTTCGAATTGAACTGCCTATCAAAGAGATCCACTATAAAGTGATGCAACAATCAAGATTGTTTCAGAGAAAAGTAATCAACTGTTATAAAGTTATGGAAACAAAATATTGTGTAACTTGCTTCAAACATTACACATAAGCCATTTATAAGAAAACTGGTGTATCTCAAGGAGCTCTATCGAAAGGTCGTGTATCATTGTAACAAGTCTCCCATACAGCTTCCATTGCATCCTTGGCAGCTGTTTCAGAGCAGTGAGGATTGGCCATCACTGATTTCATTACTCTTCTCTTCACACAATCTTGTTCATGACCTCGGAGCTTCATATAGCCACGCAATAGCTCTCGTTTGAAGTGGCAATCACCACTCAAATGGCCAGCGCGAATCTCACTACAAGCATGATGAGCACAATTAGCCCAATTTAAGTTTTTCGCTGTACAATCATCATAAGCATGAATGAGCTCATGAATCAGAACTTGGTTAACCTCATCTTGCATGTTCATATAATTGCTACATACCATTATCCCTCCACCACAAACATAACCACCACTAATTTTCTGCTTACAATCAACAGCTTTTATGAAGTTATCTCCAATGCTACACCCTGATTTTTCCAAATTCTCCATCAGAAATCTCACCATGGGAGTTCGCAAGCTTCTCTGGATCATCTTTTGACACTCTTCCACAGATACACCATCACCATACACCATTGATGGAAAGCTTTCTGTCCCCCCTTTGGCATCAGCCGCTTCACCTTCCATTTAGGCTTCCACCCACTGCGATTTTAAAACTTAAATAAATAAGGCATGAAATCTCTATATATTCCCAGACAAATTGTGCTAATACTAATAAAAAAAAGCCTTTACTTTTGGTACGACACTACTGCTGACTTGTCATGTAAGAAGCAAGTGAGTTTGATAACTTATTAGCAATTGCTAACAAAACATCCAAGAAACAAACAGATAAGTAATAACCCATCAAGTCCTATCAAAAATAGGGATGACAAAAATAAACAATCCCTAATTTAAATATAAACAAGAGCTTGTTTGGTACTTTAAATCCTTCGATGATAGACCAAGCATTGCAACTGTTTCAGAATAGGGTCACTGATGAGATGAATTTGATCCTTAGGGCCGAGTATACAAAAGAGGAGGTTGAATTTGCACTAAATCAAATGCATCCGATTAAGGCCCCGGGACCGGATGGTATGTGCCCTTTGTTCTTTAAATCTTATTGGCATATTGTTGGTGCTTCGGTGTCGAATACGGTTCTCTCTATCCTTCGGGGAGCTCCAATGCCTTCTTTTGTGAATAAAACTACTTCAGTAAATTTTTTGTGGATGCAAATTCTAGTCCATATGTTTTATCAAGAGGCACCAAATATCACACTAAATCATGTTCAAATGACCTAATCAGTCATTCAAGTACAATAGCACAGTTATAGAGATGCAATGTAGCAAGCAATCAAGCAATACGGATAGTATGAATATCTAACAAATTAATCGTTCCCTTCCTAATAAAATTCCCATCCAGGAATAGCAGAGTATGGTTTTCTAAATGAGTGCTGCCAATCACTCAGCTGATTTTCAAGAAGCCCCAAAATAAGAACATAACAGCTACTAAGTATTATATATTTCTGATTTGGTAGATTTCACAGGATACAAATGTTTCCAGCACATTTACAGAACCAAACAATACATTCTTGATTCAATAAATTTCTTAGAATATTTTACTATTAAGCACCATAAGGACCTTGGTTTCAGACTTTCAGGCAGAATAATAGGGAAACAAAGACAGGTGAGAAACCAAACATGTGTAAAAGAGAGCAGCAGACCTCATTGATGATGAATTTGTTTAGAGAGGATAATTAGTACTATTTCACACTTAGCAAGCTCGGCTATTCAATCCCGGGGTCTTCTTACTCTCTCTTTAAGACTAAATTTCTTATTCGTCACAGGGGCCACTTCTCCTACAGTGTCATTTTGACTTCTTATTTTACTGAGCTTGTAATCCCGAGCTACAGCTTAAACATTAAGGTAATAAAGCTCAAGTGTTCCCAGCCACCGTCAACTACACAACAAAACCAAGCAATTCATCACCTTGCCAAAACAGGAATGCTAACACATCTTTTATGAGAATTTTGAGATATTTAGCTTGGTATCTTAACTTATTTGGATGAAAATTGAAAATAACTTATAATAATTGTGTTATTTAACCAAAGTAATAAGATCAAAGTTGGTTCAGAATTCAGATAATGTTGATAATAAGTCAATGCAAACTTATAAAGCTTTTAAAGCTCGTCGTTCTTTTTTCTTCTGCAACATCAAATGATTGATTAGTCCAATTAAATAAAAAATAAAGAAAATTGTGATAAAAGCTGGAATGGTGAAATGTATGCAACTTCTCTGTTTTCTCAGATATCTAAAACCAATTAATCACCACTATAATACTCCATTTGTTGTATTATATACGGTATATCTCTAAATCTAAACAATCATGTAAAATGGTATTGTATTTATATTCTACCTAATTGGTGAAATCCCATGAATTTGAAACCCGATTTACACAATTTCTGAGTTCATAGCGTAACACCCAGCCCAGAAAATGAAAAGGGTATATCTGAGTAGTAAAACAAAACCGAATGAAATTCTGCAACAACTGAGATTCTTAGTTAGACCAAAACCTTAAATAATTGAAGCGTATATAAGCTAAAACGCTCACTAAATCCCCTACACCCAACACGCCATACAGTCAAACCCTAGATTTAAATACAATGGCTTTCTACTACACAATAACTAAAAATTCAATGTAAATTCACAACAACTCAATATAACAAAGTCTATCTGAATGATATTTAAGCACACAAGTAAGGAAATTGATGAGAAAAAGAACGAAATTACCGTCAATTGAAAAAATTAACAAGGAGCGGAAAAACATTACCACGATTTCGACTCAACTCGCTAAATTTCAGGCAGTTTCAAAAGATAGCTTAGATTGTACAAGAATAAAGGATAGTGATGAACAATTAGGTTTAGTATATGAAGTTTTCAGATCTGAAAGCTGAAGAAAGAGGAGAGAGAGAGGGTTCGATTTTGCGTTTGGGTATTTGGGAGCGGTTCATGAATTGTTTTTTTTTTTTTTTTTTTAAATTTCGTTATACACCGCTTTGTGGGTTGCTTTAAGTCACGTGCAAGTCATACAATATTTTCGACGCTTTCCCTTGTCAAGAAACTAATTCGACACAAAAAGCGTCGGACAAAAGCGGACATTGATTTTTACGTTGACGCCTCATATACAGCGTCGAGCCAACCTTGTCTAGAAAATAAGGTATTTGTAGTAGTGAGGATATTACCTAGAATCAATAACAAGGCACATTCACCACCTAAGTGAGAATAAGCGTATAAGGACAGTTCCAACCGGGTACTATTCAAGACATACTCCTACTGTATATGCCTTGTACGGGTATCTAGGCATATGATTATGCAAATGATTTATTTAAAAATATATAAACTAAACTAACATATATTATATTAAACAAATATATCATAATTAATCTAAACAAAACTAACATATCATAGTATTCAAATAAACCAAATCAAATATCATAATATTAAACCAAATAACATACATTATATAAAACTAAATTAAACTAAGCTACATTATATAAAACTAAACAAAACTAAACTACATTATGTTAAACTAAAGTAATCTAACATACATCATATTAAACTAAAACAAACCAAACTACATTATATTAAACTAAACAAAACTAAACAACATTATATTAAACTAAAGTAATCTAACATACATCATATTAAACTAAACCAAACCAAACTAACATATCATAATATTAAACTAAACTAACATACATTACATAAAACTAAACTAAATTAAACTACATTATATTAAAATACCCTAAATAATCTAACATGCATTGTATTAGGGTTTGTAATGTGACGTTTTCAACCTACTAATTGTACAAATCCTACACAAAAATTAAAGATAAAAAAAATGTCTTTCACTCAAACATCTAAGCTTAAACATAAATCACCAAACACCAAAGCAATGGAGGGGAGGAGGTCGGAGGTTAGGAGGACTTACCGGAATTTGTGGTGGTTCTGGTCGCAGCGACGGAGGGGAGGAGGTCAGAGGTGGCGTCGGTGGTGGCTGCGAAGAACTTCTACAGTTAGGGCTTCATGGGTTTTATTTAAAAAATTAAAAATGAATAAAAAAAAACCAACAACAACACTAACCACCGGCGGCGTCAAGGGCGGCAGAACCTTGCTTTGGTGGCAACGGTGGTCGGTGATAGCTGCGGAAACGGCGCTGGTGAGGGTTAGACATCCGGAAAAAAAAAACATCACAAAACTAACTCCACTTACCAAACGGCGGCCAAGGCGGTGCGTGGAACCCGGTGGTGGCGGCGGATTTGAGACAACTCTTCCTCTTTCTTCCTCTTCCTCTTTCTCTTTCTCTTTCTAGTTCTTTTTTTCTCTCTCCTCTGTTGCTTTTGCTGAAATTTCTTGAATAACAAGGCTGAGCATCCTATGTTATGTTGTATTATAACCTGTTCCGACGGAATTTAATTCCGTCGCAAGAAGTTTGAGGGACTTTCCGTCGTAACGTACCTTTTTCTGACGGAATTTTCTGACGGATGCTAATTCCGTCGGAAAATTCGAATATTTCGACGAAAATTTAGGTTCGTCGGAACGATTCCGTCGGAAAATGGCCTAATTCTAGTAGTATAATGCGCCACAAATCTTATCCCTCAGTGTTTAAAACACCTTAAGTGCACATAGGCACCAAATATAATTTAATCCTCGTATACATAGACACTTAAATAGCTCCTTCCTCATGATTACAGCATCGATAAAAATTATATGAACCATAATAAAATTCCTTTGTCATATTCCAAACCAAATTAAACATTTAGTTTAATTAAGCATGCTCTCTATCATGCCAATAATAAAAGTGTGGTTCATATCAACATGCCAACATAATCAATTCCGATCACCAAATCATCATAAATAATTCATACATCACAAATCATTCACCAACATCAATCCAATCAACAAAATTCCAACCAACACCTATCATGATACTACTTGGAATTAATTAAACAAAGCCTAGCATGCTTCTACATATTCAAATTATTACTAAGTACACGAACGTACCTTGAATATGATCTCAAAATCGCCACTACTAAATAAAATCACTCACTTGGAAGTCTCCTACAAACCAACATTACAAAGAAGTATTAATACCTCTTCCACACAAATTTCCAACAATATATTTACTCTTTAAATCACTCATAAACCCTCTAAAATAATCTGAAATTTAATTTAAAACCCTTACTTTTATTCCCAATTAATGGGTAAATAAAAATTCTTTCAAGAAACTTAATTATAACTTATATATAAAAATTCTAGCATTATTAAAACATCTTAAATTGTTGTAATTATGTTTTAAAACACCTATTTCAATAATTTAAATCACCCACAATCAAATTCCATCAATAAACATTAATTTAGAAACCTTGGGTTTTCAATTTGGGGCTTTTTAATTCAAAACCAAATCTGAAAATTTATATACAAAAGACTTATTATTAAACATCCTAAAATCATCACCAAACCCAAAAACAATAATTAGATTTAGGCTAGATTAAATTAGAAACAAAAACAATAATAATAATTTTTTTTTTAAAACCACCAAGGCTGGTTGCCGCCGCCGCCTGGTGGCTGCTGCTGCCGGCGAGTGCTGGTGGTGGTGGCTGGCCGGCGTGTGTGGTGTGTGTGTGGGTGGTGATTAAACTAAAATAAAATAAATTAAAGGGGAAGGGGAAAAATTAAGGAGAAAAGAAAATAAGAGGAGAGAGAGAGAGTTTACTTTTGGGTGCACTCCACCTTAGGCATATAATGGGTATTTATACCCTCTCTCAAATTCCTCATTCTTAAAATTCCTTTACTACCCTTAATGATCCCTTTCCTAATCAAAATAGTATTTTGACTTTCCTTAAATACCATTGACTTTAAAAATTAACTTTTTATAAAATAATATGCCCCAATATTTTTAAATCATGAAATAAAATATTTTCAAGATTATTAAATAATTAAAAATAAACTTTAATTAAAATAATTCTTTTTAAATTAATAAAAACACCATAAATAATTCATTTCGAATTATTTAAATACTTTAGGAAATACTTATTTAAATTAAAATACATATAAAAATATGGGGCATTACGGTTAGGGTTAGGATGGTGGGGAAGGATACGGGTTAGGGTGGTGGGTGGGTTTTTCGGGAAGAATACGGGTTTAGCTGGGTGCATTAAGGTTAGGTGGGGTGGGTTCAGTTTGGTTAGGGTTAGGACTTAGGAGGTGGGTCTGGTTCGGTTTAGGTGGGTGGTAGGGTGGTTCAGTGAGGGTGGTAGCGGTGTGGTTAGGGTTGTTGTGGTGGTGGTGATGTGTTAGGGTTTAGTTTGGGTGCGTTAGGGTTTAGTTTGGGTGCGTTAGGGTTTAGTTTGGGTGCGTTAGGGTTAGGTGGGGTGAGGGTGGGGTTGACAATGGATTTTTGGGTGGTTGAAGGTGGTGACAGACCGTGTCGATGGTGGTGCAACCTGTTTTTTTTTTAAATTTGATTGCACCATTTTCCGGAAAATCTCTTCTGATGCCTGAATTCCATCGGAAATTCCGTCGGAGAACTAGTTTCGACGGAATTTCCGGCGGAAAAGGTCGTTTTTCCTACAAAACCTTTTTCGACAACCGCTTTCGACGGAAATTCCGTCGAAAACGTGTTTTCCGTCGGAAATTCCATCGAAAACAGGGTATTTCTGACGGAATTTTTCCGTCAAAAATCGGCCTATTTCTAGTAGTGTAAGTTTGATATATATAGATTCTCATAAATATTGGGTAGGGGTAGATAATTTGGCCTTGGATGTAGATTTTTTGCCTTGGCAATATCAACATAATTATTTATTCACCTACATACATGCTAACCACTGCACATATTTAGAATAAATCATACATATATATTTGGACTAATGTATTCTCCGTATATACTTTGAAAATTTTAGAATTATTACTTTGAGTATTATTATGAAAGATCATGCATATAAAGTTTTATAATATTATATTTGTTTGATAATTTCCTATAGAATATGTCATTATGCTATCTAAATTGTTGTAAATAGATAATACAAGTAATAAGTAGTCAATTTATTTGTATAAAAAGTAATCCTTCATCATTACAAATTCAAAAAGAATTATGTAAGAAAATTAGTGATAGTAATAAGTTGGCAGGTAATTGAGCGGGTAGGTGGGTTATAGATGGGTATGACGTCAAATCCATCGCTTACCTGTTACCCACGTTGGGTATGACTTATGTACTCATACCTGCCTACTTGCCCGCCAAAGATCGATTTGCTAGGATATAAAAAATTAATGTAATTTAAAACATTAAATAGAAAGTATTCCGTATAAAGTGAATAGACGGATAGGGTATATTAGTTACATGTATTAGTATTCCACTAATATTTCAGTTATTAATATTTCACTGTACAAAAACTGATCATTTTATTGTAGATTCGTAGATGTACAAATAAAAAATAAAAATAATAATAAAAAATAAAAAAATTGACTACTACTTTGATTACTTGGTAATATATACGAAGCATGGTATATTTAACTTGAATATGTTTTCCATACATTACAAGAGCATGCATGTACTTGAGAAGGACACAAGCATGGGTCAAAATCAAAATCAAAATAGCATGCAATTATTTTATGAGGGAACAAAAAAAGACTTCTGAGTATATATTCTAATTATAATTGAAAATGTTTATAGACTAATATATATAATTAATATTCAATTGTTAATACTAACGCTTGATAATATACTAACGCTTGATATATAATTTATATTCTAATTACAATTGAAAATAATAATCGTACACGATGAGTTATCTATCATCCTCTTCTATCAATATTATAGACTTATTGGTAAAGGATTGATATAATCTCCATGACACCTTCTGTTTGATTTTGCAGGTGACTGTGGTAGAGATGGACGGGCAATTTGACAGATTAGATGAACAAATCTACGTCGAGAACCACTTAAACAATCTATCAACCAAGTTTTATGGTGAAGTCACCCAACAAATGTTGAATCACCAAGATTTTCCTGGAAATAACAATGGAACTTGTTTCTTCCAAACAATCATTGGATTGAAGATCAGAGACCTGTTCAAGCAGATTGTTGCCAACAGGTCTGCAACTCCTGCAGAAGCTGCTAAGGCCTAAAAAGCTCGAGTTTACTGATGATATATGCCACTACGAATATAAAATTTTTCCTCCTCTTCATTTGGAATGTCCACTACCTATTCTTCTTGTCTGAGTTTTTTTTGTAGGCTACTCTAGTCTGATATTCTGATGTTAATGGACATGTGCTAAGGCAAGAGATGAAAAATGAATCCATTCTAAAAGAATTCACATTTTGTCAGCAGAGTTGCAATTTTTTTGCAAAAAGCTTGGATTTGTGTACTTATCATTTAATGCTACTGTATGAACAAACTGGAAATGAAACTATGTTATGGTGCCAAATGTGAACTTGCTGCAGCATGTCTTTTAAAGCCTTCGTATGGGATATATTCGATAACATTTGTTAAAAAATAAAAATGTATTCGTCGCAGTTTTGGTGTGCGAAGATGTCAAGCCCCAAATGTTTCTGCATTATGATATGAGTTAGTCTTAAAAGATAGAGCTAGGTGTATATGCAGGGACCTTTTTTAGTTAGTTAATCAGTGCTCAAGTTGGGAACTGTGTGTAAGCATGGGGCAAGGCTGAGTGCATCTGACTGCCTAATCCTTGGTTATTTCTGTACTGTGAATGTCATTTTTGGTGATCCTTGCTGCTTCTCTAATCATGGGCATTGCTCTCAACTTCACCATGTTCCTTTGTACGATAATCAACTCTGCTCTGACGACCACTAATGTTAGAGTTCTGAAAGGTGTTGGATCAACGGTATGAATCACTTTGCTATCATGAAAATCACCGGTATCAACGGTATGTGTTTTTTAGTTTCTCTGGAAACAAGTGATTTGGAAAAACCTCAATGTACGACTACTAGGATGGCAAAGATCAATTGTGCTCCAGCATAACTTTACAAAAGCCAGCGTATTAGCTCCAACAAAGAATCAAAACATGTAAAAAAACACAAGAGCAATACAGGAAATTAGACTGCAAATTTTAGAACTTTTGTTAATGTGTAATTCAGTATTCAATTGCGCAAAACGTCGTCTTCTGTGTACATGTTGTCAATGAGCAGAATGATTGCTTCAATGAAAGTTCTGTCAAAATTACGAATTTGGTTTACTAGGACAATTCATGTAAATGTACAGCTATAGTCATGTAACATATCACCCAAAAAAGGAGGGGTAAAAGTAAAGTTCATCTACATATTTCGGCTTTTTGGACAGCAAGGACTAAGGAGCAATGATTGCATGACCTATATTACATCTGGATTACTGGTATTCAAGGCTCAGAAAAGAAGTCAGGATCTTGAGGCTTCATCATCTTAGGTAAATCAATATCCCTGTTTCTTTGTGCACCTTTTCGTGCATTGCCTGCGAATCTCTTTGCCAAAAGAGTGACTCCAAGCTGTTGTATAGCCTGAGATGGCGTCGCTGTTTCACCACTATTGTCATCAGGAGCTTGTTCTTGGCTTTCAAACTCAACATTATCATATTGGGAAAATGAACT